TAAAAATACGAACTATATGAAGAAATATTTAATATTGACAAAGGTTAAAACTAAGTCATACTGCTGGTCGCCCCATGGCTGCTTGCTTTCTTGTCATTAAAAAATACAAAGCTTTGCGAAATCAAATAATAAAAATTAAAAACACTTAAATGTTATGTAACTGATCTATGCTATGACCACAGCAATTTAGAAGCACCAAGGGATACTTGCCATTTCTGTTTGTTTAGCTCCCTTATTCTTGTCTACACTCATATTGAATACACATTGGCCCATGTGACAAAGTGGTCAAATCCAAGTTAATTTCCACAAATTGTTGGTTATGCTTTAGATGAAAGAGAGAAGGAGAAAGAGAGACCAATCTTAGCAGTACATGACAAGAAGGGTCTCTCTTTACAAAACTGGCTCTACTGGAGAATTCTATTAAATTCATAACTCTAAAGCTGAAGATGCATTCAATGTTGTTGGTCTTTCTAGATCACAGTGTGCCTGATATTATTCATTCTCATACACAAAACACAAAGGAACACTAATGTTTCTGTGAGAACACTAATGTCCTATATCACTCAAGGATCAAACCAAACCAGGGCCTGTGAGACAGCTCAGCAGGTGAAGGCACTTGCCACCAAACCTATGATGGCTCCCCCATGGTGAAAGAAGAAAATCAACTAGCAAGCTGTGCCCTAAATGCAACACACACACTGAAATAAAGCAATTAAAACTAATAACTCTTAATAATATGCCAACCAACACACAATTCAGGAGAAGAGAACCTAGGCATTTTATTTTCTCTTATTTGAAGGGTCTTCACAGTTGCAATGCAAAGAAGTTAGCTACGAGGTTAAAAAGACAAAGTCACTCACTTTCTAGTCAGTTTTTTTATGCTATAAAAAGCATGGAAAAGATCTTAGTAGCTTTAAAGACTGCTCATTAACTCTTCTGAGTGGTTAAGCTTTAGGAGTGTTAGAAATATTTAGAAAAAAAAAATCTTTGTAAGATTAAAGGACTTAATTATCATCCACTAAATATTTGCACTGTAAGTCAGAATCTTATCTTTTCTGAAACACCTAGTTACGTCTTCCAGGAATAAATGAAAGCTCGCAGCATGCTGTGGTTGAAGGAGCATCAAGCCCTCAGAAAGTCCTCAGCGCTGCATGGGGTGGCCTGTGCTCACCAGAGAACTCCGGTTTCCCTCCCAATCTGCCCTCCAGGATCTCACTCTTCTTTATGTTTTCACAGCCATCTCTACTTTCTACCTTTCTCTTCACAAACACTGAACTACTGCCCGCAGCAAATACAACGCCAATACGGTGCAGAAAAATCTGCAAGGTAAAACCTCCCTCGGCGGGTGGAAAACAGGTCGTTTTGGCCATTTCCTAAAGTCTCTTCATTAATTTCTTTAGCCATTTATATTTGGAGAAGGATAGAGAGGGAATGAACTATTAACTCAAACACGTGCCTTTTAACAAGCTGAAATCTTCTCAAGTGTGTGGTAAAGGAAGGACCAGGTCTTTGCAACCGTTCTACGTGGGGAGAAGTACCTGAAAAGGCAGCGTTGGACCCGGGAAGCCATTGCTAGAGACTCCGGAAGGTGGTTGAAGGGTTGAGCCACCCAAAGGCCTGCAGGCCCCAGTGAGTCTGCGCACTGGTTCTCATCCCTCCACCCTGAGAGAGGGCTGTTGCCCTTGACAACCCGGGAGGCCTGAGGAGCTTGACCACCAGCTGGGCGCTAGACTCTGCGCTGCTGCCTCTAATGGCTCTGCAGTCAGGTCTAGCGCTGAGAGCACCATCCAACTTGATCTGTCTCTTCAGCCTGTACCTGGGCCTGATAGAGTGAAACTAGATCCTTGGGCCTGGGGACAAGTGAAATGTGAGGTAACGGTGTGACACTTTATTTTTGTTTCCTGTCAAAATGGACACGGAGTCTGGAGAAAGGGAGGTGAGGAGGGAGAGAGAGTGGGCACATCTCCATTTTCCATCTTCTATACCCTCTCATTTTTGACCATTAAAAAAAAAACAAAACAAAAAACAAAAAAAACAAAAAAAAAAAAAAAAAACCTTTATATTTAGCTTTTGAGATGCGGGATCTCACTGTATTGCCCAGATTGCTCTTGTATGCCTGGGCTGAGCAATCCTCCTGCCTCAACCTCACACAAGTAGCTGCTAAGCAACTATTCATTCTCACCCACTCATTCTAGATTTCATCAAGCACTGAAGGCCGGTATATCATTAAGTGAGGTAGAAAGTAAAGTATTTAACATCACTATAGCATCAAGGTTCCCAGCCAGTCACTTTAAGTATTCATTTAAAATACCAGTCAGAAAAGGCGGAAGGGAAAGTGGAGAAGCTGAATGCTTATGCGCAGGGAGTTAAGCAGGACCAACCATGAACACATGGAAATGAACTTTTTGGTTTCTGGGGACTCACAGTGATTTGCAGTTGGTCTTGAAAATCAAAAGTTAGAACACGCTGTGGCAGGAATTTTGGGCAAAATGTTAAGATAATGAGCTGGGTATCTAGCTACCTTGTACATCTGTGGGCTTTCAGGAAAGGGTTACTGCCAGAGCTGTTAGACTGAAAAGGAAGTGGTCCAGTGAGGGAGAAGGTGGGCAGGAAGCACTTCATAAAAGAATTCATGCGTCCACTCAAGATGCTGGACTTAATTCTCCTCTTTTTATCTTAAAAAACAAATAATTTTCATGGTTGGTGGGATGGCTCAGTGGCTATGAGTCTTGCTGCTTTTGCAGAGGACCCGAGTTCAATTCTTTGTACCTCTATCAGGCAGCTCACAACTGACTTTAACTCCAGTTCCAGGCGATCTAATGCCCTCTTCCATGGGCATTCAAACACGCACGCAGACACACATTTTTTTAATTTTATTTTATTATTTTATTTTATTTTACTATTAATTACACTTTATTCATTTTGTATCCCCCCATAAGCCCCTCCCTCCTCCCCTCCTGTTCCCACCCTCTCTCCCCTCTCCTCATGCATGGCCCTCCCCAAGTCCACTGATAGGGGAGCAGACACACATTTTTTAACTAAAAAAAGTTTTAATGTTTTAAATTGTTTTTCTGGGACACACATGCACACACATACCAAAGCTCAGAGAATATCATGAAAAGAGAAGGTAGGAAGATTTAAAGTCAGAAGTTGGGGGAGGGGCTGTGAGACATGGTCCTTCTGGACATAACATGAACTCAGTGCAGATGTGGTCACCTACACAAGAGTAGAGCCATCAACTTTTTCATCATGAGAAAGGGAAGGGCTCGGGGGGGGCCTCACCCCACCTGAGGGCCTGTTGACAGTTAATGGTGGCAGAGGGAAGGGGTATCGCTTTCTTCAGTGCCTTATCCCAGGATCAGGGAAATAACCTCCCACCCATGTTCATTCAGGCAACCCTTCTTATCTCAGCAGGTCAGATGCATAACAAATACAGGAAAGTAAAGGGGACACTTGTTGGGAAGAAAAATAGTTTTGGCAGAAGGTGGGGAGATAAGACAGAATAATGGGGGAGGGTGGAGAAAGACTAAAATTCATTGTACATATAAATGAAACTGCCATAATTAAAAACTAACCGCCTTTTAAAAATCATTTTCAGTTACTTTAACTCTATGTGAACGACTATAATGGGTTTTATTTCTACTGACGGTGCTAAAGATAAATGCTAGACATATCTGTGTGTGTGTGTGTGTATGTGTGTGTGTTTCTCCCTCTCTAACTATTCCAGAATACCTGTGCTACTTTTAACATGTGACAGTTGAGCTAGGAAGAACAACAAAGTGATTTGTTCTTTACCTACTTCTAGATTAGTGATGGGATCATCAGAAAATAGAAACAAACAAATAATTATTATTATTATTATTTTTACAAAATTAGGTTCCTAACTGAGTTGCAGAGTAGCCATATATAGCTTTTTTTAAAAGAAAGAATTCTAACTAGTTATTCCATGAGTATACTTTTGTCATCCAAAAAGTAAACTGAGTGTCTTAAGCACATGCACACATACTTTTTTCTGATTAGCATTTTCATGAGTTCTTCACTTGGATGACTTTACTGTGGACCTCATAGAGATTACAGAGACACTAAATATTTTACTCTCCAATTTACCACATGATGCTTCCATGTGGCATTTGAAGAACGTGGATACCTAGTCATGGTAGAGCAATTGAACTTGGCTGCCTGTAAGTCTCAACCCTTGAGCGTTTCTCGAAGGCGGTGTCTGAAATCACAAAACTTACCTTGGTAACAGACTTTCTCTCCTGTTGCAGTGATAGACATTGAGAAAATAAATTTTAAAAACTAAAGATTCGTTAAATCTAGCCTGCTGCTGGGTCCGAAGTTGCAATGTCATTTTGTCAAAACTGTGTTCTTTCAGAAATGATCAAGGAGGGACCGCTACATGATCAGTTGTGTGTCACGATCTTTGTTACTCACGTTTATATGCATGTGTGCATATCACCAACAATATAGAAGATGTCATGAATTCAAGAGGGATGGAAGAGAATAAAAAGAGAAATTATAAAATAGACTATACTCATACGAAATTCTCAAATAAATTGTAACAGAAAATGCAAAATATGATTGGCACGAATCTGATTGTGATTGTAAATAAATCATTAAAGCTTTACTGAAATTCTCCAATACTATTCTCTAATTGACCTTCATTCTTTAGCACCTAGAAATGCTGTTAAGTAGTGAGAGATAACATCAGCAATATACCAGTATTTCGTAGTCTTAAAAAGAGACTTTTTGATTCTGGAGGTTGTTATACAGAACAGGTGAATGTACACTCAGGGCTGTGAGAGATGAAAGTATAGAAAGAAAAAATACTGTGGCCTCTGAGTTTGGGAAGGTTATTGTCAAACACTAAGAAACAGATTATGGATTTTCTCCGAGAAAAAGCATGCATATGTGTTTTGTGTTCTTTTGTAGAAGTCTGATAATAAAGATATCACCGAAGATCAGAAACAAAATCAACCAGAAGAAATTCTGAAAGTATGGGATGTGGAGAGTCAAAAATATCTACAGCAAATACTATCGTTTTAGGGGTGAGTGTTAGGCTTTCTCATTACTGAGATAAAATCCCCTCAAAGAAACAGAATGGAAAGGGGCAGATTTGTTTTGGCAGCTCATTCCTGAAAGGATGGAGTTCATCATGGAGGGAGGAGGGGGAGAGAAGGCATGCCAGTGGGAAGAGGAGGCTTTTGACTTTCTGGCCACATTGCATCTGCGGTCAGGAATCAGAAAGTAAACAGGAAGTGAGGCTGGGCTACAAAGCACGCTATCCACCTCTCATAACTAACTTTCTCCAGCCAGGCTCCACTTCTACTTTTTGTTTTGTTTTTGTTCTTGTTTTTTTTATTTTTATTAATTACAGTTTATTCACTTTGTATCCTCCCTGTAGCTCCCTACCTCCTCCCCTCCCAATCCCACCTTTCCTCCCTCCTCTCCACCTGTGCTCCTCTCCCAGTCCACTGATAGGGGAGGTCTTCCTCCCTTTCCTTCTGATCCTAGTCTATCAGGTCTCATCAGGAGCAGATGCATTGTCTTCCTCTGTGGCCTGGCAAGGCTGCTCTCTCCTCAGGGGGAGGTGATCAAAGAGCAGGCCAATCAGTTCCTGTCAGAGACAGTGCCTGTCCCCATTACTATGGAACTCACTTGGACACTGAACTTCCATGGGCTACATCTGTGTAGGGTTCTAGGCTATCTTCATGAATAGTCCTTGGCTGGAGTATCGGTCTCAGAAAAGACCCCTTTGCCCAGACTTTTTGGACCTGTTGCTCTCCTTGTGGAGCTCCTTTCTTCTCCAGGTCTTACTATCGCCCAATTCTTTCATAAGATTCCCTGCACTCTGCCCAAAGTTTGGCTATTAGTCTCAGCATCTGCCTCAATACCCTGCAGGGTAGAGACTTTCAGAGGCCCTCTGTGGTAGGCTCCTGTCCTGTTTCCTGTTTTCTCCCTCCTCCGATATCCATCCTCTTTGCCTTTCTGAATGGGGATTGAGCATCTTAACCATAAAGAGATGGGTCAGTGGTTAAGAACACTGTCTGTTCTTCCAAAGGACCTGGGTTCAATTCCCAGCACCCACATGGCAGCTCACAACTGTCTGTAACGCCAATTCCAAGGGGTCTGACACCTTCACACAGGCTCTACTTCTTAAAGATTCAACAACCTCCCCAGAAGCACTACCAGCCAGGGTCAGGGGTTCAACATGTGGTCCTATGAAAAAGGCACTGCATACTCAAACCACAGCAGTAAGATTTCACTCTGATTGACTAAAATCCAATGTCTTAAATGATGGCAGTTTTTTAAAAGGTGACCTTGTATCTAAGAAGGGATGTATTTGGAATAACTAAGAGGCAAATGCTTCTTTAACAACAAAAAACAAAGCCATGGTGATTGTGTTCTGTAGCTTTTGTCTGGTCTCCCAGTTCTTCATAAGCAAGGATGTGATGAGGCATGAGCTTAGCAACTGAACTACCACACCCAAAGAAATCCAACAATCTGAAAGAATTGCCAAATTTAAAAGTGGGTACGTGTCTGTTAGTTTAAAAGCGGTCTATCATCGACTGTCACTATACTCATGTCAGTGCAGGGGGATGAATATACAGTTCTGTTTAGTCATAAACCTGTGAGATTAAAGCTTACCTTGTTCAATTAACAGACCCCAAGAAGTTAGGAAAATCGCATGCTTTTGTAACCAGCTGGGAGAAACCCCTTCTAAAGGGTTTGATCTCTTCCTCTGAATTCTTAGACCATGCTGTGCAGACCAGCTGTCCAAGCTGCTGCACAAGAGTTCTTAGCTCTATGGTGATAGAGAGCTCTGGGAATAGAATGAAATGTCGCAATCTGCTCTCCCAGATCACATGCCTACTGCCATCCTTTGCAGCCTGGTTGCTTGGGTGGTTGACTGGTTGTTGGGTATGGTGGTGTGAGTGAGAACCCCCTAGAACCCAGTAACAAACTCTAAATTAAGAATCATTTTTCAATAAGAAAACTTCAGCTTGTCTCTCTTGCACCAGCGTAGTTGTTCACAAATCCTTGGCTTGTCCTTCCTGGACAGCCCCTTTGTCTGGGAAAAACAATGAGAATTCCATAGTTAGTGCATGACCAGTTTACTTTCATCTTTTATAAAGATGTTAAATGCTGCTTATGTTTCTTGAAACTGTGTTTTCCTTTACATCACTGCAGTCCTAACAGCTCTCTCCTCTCACAGGTTATCCAGATTATGATTGGCACCTATCATGTACTCATGTGGTATTTCCTATTGTTGTTGTACATGGGACAGATTAAAGGAGTATTTGGGACTTATGAACCTTTAACTTACAAAATGGGAACTTCCTTATGGGGAATTACTGTGAGTATAATACATTTGTACTGATTGTATTACTTCAGTAAATAATATTGATTCATATAGTAGACAGTAGGGGCCAGATTCTAAATAAGGTTTTCAGGAGACTCGAATAACTGTTATTTGCTGACTTATTCAAAATTCAATTTTGTCTTTCAACAAATGTGTACTGAGCACTTAATCTACAAGTGCTGGCCAAGAAATGTAGATGTGAGAGTAAAGGACAGCCACCGTGTGGACTATCTCCCTACCTACATCAAAAGCAGATTTTTAACCATCACATCCATGAGCGTGGTTAATATTCAGGTTTGCAGTTATCTGCACTCTCATGTGGTTTCTAGGCAGCCATTGGGCAGAAGGAAAACTTGGAGTGCGGGTATCTCCAGAAGTGAAGGGAAGAATATATCACAGACACAAAGAAAGATCAACCCTATTGTCCTCCAGGGGTTTGTCAGTGAAGTAAAGGTTGAAAACTGACTCCCGGTAATCATTCATAAACAAGACACATAGTTTCAGTAAAATGATGACATGAAATCCTGAGTAGACTTGGTTTAGGGAAATGGAATGAGAGCTGAGGAAATTTTTTATAATTATTTTTAGTTAATTTTGATGATTCCATACATGTGTACAATGCATTTTGATCATATCTACTTGACTCCCTCCCTCCAACTCCACCCCCAACACATCTCCCTCCCAACTTCATGTCCTTTTTTTCTATCTGTCTTTTACTGGTGTGTTGGGGGAACCAGAATAAAAAAACAATAAACAATATGAGATAAAAAGGGAAACCTTGCAATTGTATATTTAAGTTGTCAAGAAACAATGGGTTTTAGTGAACAAATATCTATGGCTATGTTCTCCAGTGATGGTTCTCAGTTAGTATTAGTTTTACCCCCTTAGAAAACATGTCATAGCATCTGGAGATACTCTGCATTTTTACATCTAGAGAGCAAAAGCCGAGGATGCTGCTAAGCATCCAATAATACATAGAATATCAAATGCGAAGAATTATAACGATTAATGTAAATAGTGCTAAGGCAAGATAACAAGAGGGGGAATGAATAAAGAGCAAAATTGGTTCTCATTGGATTTGGGGATTACAAAAGCTTCGAACATTTCTATGTATAAAGAAGAAAGAGAGATATGAGCTAAAAGTGAGGGCAAGCATGTGGACCAGCTATTAAAGGGGAGGAGGGAGCGTGGGGTAGTCATCTAAGAAAAGTGAGAGAGAATATGGCTTATGGAAAATTAATTTGATTCTTATACAGCTTTAAGGACTCAAGGTTTAGAAACATGACTGCATAGTTAGATAAGCCTTCACTCAAACCCTGTTCATCTGCATGGATGCAGACGTGAAGCAGAAATAAAACTACATTTCGTCAGGATTTCGGTTAAAAGACTCAGTTTGTATTTAAAAAGGAGGTGGACACCAGAGTTGAGAATGGACACAGGGAGTGTTTATAATGACTGGCCATAGAATTGATGCTGGCGATAAAAAGAATTCAGCAGGAAGCAGGACATCTGAGAGAATAAACACATAGGATGGAAAAAGCATTGCTAGAGCTAATTGCCAGACGACATCCTCTAGAAAGACACAATAGTGGTAGGAACGAATACATAACGTTGGGATTTAAAAGGACTAACAAGAGAATGAGTATGGAAATCAAGTCATTTTTTTAAAGAATTCGGGGGGGGGGGGAACGGAAAGAATCACATCCCTAGGGTAAGTAGAAGGATGTACATATGTTAAGTCACTAAAGATCAAGTGACTTAGGAGAGACATCAGAAGGTCAAAAATCAAAATCATGTGGAAAAGGATGAATGACTAAGCAGTCAGTCAGTGACCTCAAGCACAGGGATGGTGGATCATAGAATTTGTCTCAAGTATAAAAAAATAAGAGAGAGGTGGAACTAGACAATTGGGAGGAGAAAATTACTCTCCTTGAACGAAGTTGATCTGCTAGATGTTGAAGAAGAGGTTGAGCGGTCATGAGAAGGTATAGTGATCTCTAGGACATCTGCCTTTATCTTTACGTTGACTCAGGGTGTCCAAGGGCGAAATCCAAAGAAGTCATGCTGACAAGCAATCCACTGCCTCATCAATAAGAAATGGTGCATTTAGCTCATAAATGAAAAGCAAATGGAAGAAAGAAGAAAATTAAAAAGATAAAAGAAAACTAGAACTTTCAGACAAAACTCAGAGAAATTACCTGTGTCCCCTTGAGTTTCATTTCATGCTATAAAAATCACTTCAGATCCTCCTTTCTGTTTTTATGCCAATACCATGCAGTTTTTATTACTATTGCTCTGTAGTACAACTTGAGATCGGGGATAGAGATACCTTCAGATAATCTGTTGTTGTACAGGATTGTTTTGGAGATTCTGGGTTTTTTGTTTCTCCATATGAAGCTGAGAATCTTTTTTTCAAGGTCTGTAAAGAATTGAGTTGGTATTTTGATGGGAATTGCATTGAATCTGTAGATTGCTTTTGGCAGGATGGCCATTTTCACAATGTTAATCCTACCAATCCATGAGCACGGGAGATCTTTCCATCTTCTGAGATCTTCTTCAATTTCTTTCTTCAGAGACTTGAAGTTTTTCTCAAACAGGTCTCAATGGAACCGCATAGAAGATCCAGAAATAAACCCACACACCTATGAATACTCGATTTTTGACAAAGAAGCCAAAACCATTCAATGGAAAAAAGACAGCATCTTCAACAAATGGTGCTGGTCCAACTGGATGTCCACATGCAGAAAAATGAAAATAGATCTATATTTATCACCCTGCACAAAACTAAAGTCCAAGTGGATCAAAGACCTCAACATAAAACCAGATACTCTAAATCTGTTAGAAGAAAAAGTTGGGAACAGCCTAGAACTCATTGGCACAGGAGACAACTTCCTGAACAGAACACCAACAGCACAGGCTCTAAGAGCAACAATCAATAAATGGGACCTCATGAAACTGAAAAGCTTCTGTAAAGCAAAGGACACTGTCATCAAAACAAAACGCCTGCCTACAGATTGGGAAAGAATCTTCACTAACCCTTTATCTGACAGAGGACTAATATCGAGTATATACAAAGAACTAAAGAAGCTGAAAAGCAGCAAACCAAGTAATCCAATTAAAAGATGGGGAACAGAGCTAAACAGAGAATTCTCTGCAGAGGAATATCGAATGGCAGAGAAACACTTAAAGAAATGCTCATCCTCATTAGCCATCAGGGAAATGCAAATCAAAACGACCCTGAGATATCACCTTACACCCATCAGAATGGCCAAGATGAAAAACTCAAGGGTCAACACATGCTGGAGAGGTTGTGGAGAAAGGGGAACCCTCCTCCACTGCTGGTAGGAATGTAAACTGATACAACCACTCTGGAAATCTATCTGGCGCTTTCTAAGACAATTAGGAATAGTGCTTCCTCAAGACCCAGCTATACCACTGCTAGGTATATACCCAAAGTTTGCTCAAGTACACAAAAGGGATATTTGCTCAACCATCTTTATAGCAGCTTTATTTGTAATAGCCAGAACCTGGAAACAACCCAGATGTCCATCAACAGAGGAATGGGTACAGAAATTGTGGTATTTTTACACAATGGAATACTACACAACAATCAAAAAGGAGGAAATCATGAAATTTGCAGGAAAATGGTGGGATCTAGAAAAGATCATCCTGAGTGAAATATCCTAGAAGGAGAAAGACAAACACAGTATATACTCACTTATATAGACCTATAAGATATGATAAACATAATGAAATCTATACACCTAAAAAAGATAATCAAGAGAGCGGACATGGGGTAAGATTATCAATCCTCGTTTAGAAAGACAGATGAACATATGACAGGAGGCTACTGAGTGCATTTGAAAGACTCTAACTAGCAGTGTTTTCAAAGCAAAGACTCATGACCAAACCTTTGGCAGAGTACAGGGAATCATAAGAAAGAAGGGGAGTTAGTCTGATGAGGAAAGGATAGGAGCTCCACAAGGACCAAATCTGGGCACAGGGTCTTTTCTGAGACTGACATGCAACCAAGGACCATGTATGAATGTAACCTAGAACCTCTGCTCAGATGTAGCCTGTGGTAGCTCAGTAACCAATTGGTTTCCCATAGTGAGGGGAACAAGGACTATTTCTAACAAAAACTCAATGACTGGCTCTTTGGCCTCCCCACCCCCCAAGGGAGGAGCAGTCCTGTTAGGCCACAGAGGAGGGCTTTGCAGCCAGTCCTGAAGATACCTGATAAAACAGGATCAGATGAATGGGGAGGAGGTCCCCCCCTATTAGTGGACTTGGCAAGGGGCACGGTGGAGATGAGGGAGGGAAGGAGGGACTGGGAGGGAATGAAGGATAGGGACATGGCTGGGATACAGAGTTAATAAAATGTAACTGATAAGAAAAAAATAAAAAAAAAAACAATAAAAAAAATCACTTCAGAAGGGAAGTAACGAGGCAAGTAGGTCAGCAGAGAGTTTTCTGCACCAGCAGGAACCCCGAGTTCAACCCCAGCACCCTTAAAAAGCCAAGTGTGATGTGCATGTGTGGCCTCAGCTCTGGGGAGGCAGAGACAAAATTCTGACACTCACTGATCAGCCAGACAAGTCTAACCATCAATCACAGATCCCACTAAGAGAGCTTGTTCAAAAAAACAAAAAAAGAAAAAGCAAGTTAACTTCTGGCCTACACACACACACACACACACACACACACACACAGCACAACTGACGCGTTCAGTAAATCTTCTAAATATTTAAAATGTAATCCAATGTAAAAGTTGTCGTTTAGATGATAAACTTTGAAAGACATTTTCTAAAGCAAATGTTTTTGCTAATAAACTGGAAAACACTGCAATAAAAAAATCTTACAAAATACACTCTATTCATGTATTAAATTTTCAAAGTATAAATAAACATTTTGATAAATGTTTTCAATTTTTTCCCTGGGTATTTGAGTTTTGCCTACATATCTGCCATCATGTCCATGCTGTGACTAAAGAAGAGAGAAGAAAGCATCGGATCTTGTGGGGCTGGAGTCACAGATGTTTGTGAACTTCCACGTGGGTGCTGGGAATCAGGCCAAGGTCTTCTGGAAGAACAGCCAGTGCTCCCAACCACTGAATCGTCTCTATAGCCTCCAGTTCAATATTTTCAATAAGAGATGAGTTCTAACTTCGGATCTAAAATGATAGGAAAATATTTTCACATGTGATCCTGAGATGATTCCTAGCCTTGCCATACACATCCTTAGCAGCCTCACCTTTTCTGACAAGATCAAGAACGAAATGTGCAAAAGCAATTTCCTGGTGGAATGTGTAAGCTTCAAAGTCTGGCCTTCCCAAATAAAGTGTGCAGCTTGACAGGCATCTCCAGAAAGGAGGAAAGAGAAAGCATGTAAGAGCCAGAGGCGGCGATGACGAAACCACAGAGACTGTGACAGCAGGTACAAAACCTGCACAAGCTCAAGACAGACAAAAATCTCAGCGCGGAGAAGGGGAAGTGGGCACCAAGTCCCACCTAGCCAAGAAGCTATTTGCAGTTGATGCACACTGGGAAAGGGAAAGTCAATTTTCTTCAATAGATTACATCAGTTACTGGGAATATCAGTCATACTACTGGGCGGGCCTCATACTCAGGAATAGTTGGAAAACATAAAACAGACTTTATAGAGTTTTTTTTTTTGTGTGTGTGTGTGTGTGTGTGTGTGTGTGTGTGTGCTTTTATTGTGGTGCTTTTAGTTTGATGTTTTTCTTTTTGTTCGGGGGTAGTGTTTTTGTGTCTTTGCTTGCTTGCTTGCTTGTTTTGAAAGAAAATCATCAAAGTGGACGGAGAACTTGGGAAGGGGAAAGAATGATCAATATATGAAAAATTTAATGTAATTTTTAAAAGTACGAAACACGACTGCTACTTTTCAAAAAAATTAACTTAAAAGCACTAAAACATAAAAGTCAGGGGCTGGAAAGATGGTTCAGTGGTTTAGAGCACGTCCTGCTCTTACGAAGGACCAAGATTTGGTTCCCAGCACCCATACCAAGGGGGTTTACAACTTCTTGCAACTTCAGTTCCAGGAGATCTGACCTTTGAACTTCTGACCTCTGCAGCAACTGCATGCACACACATATTTATGCATAAATAAAATAAGTAAAGCTTAAAAATAAAAAAGACAATATTTCAGCAAAGTTGTGTAGCCTGCTTTTAATTAACACAGAAGCACTTTGTACTTCTTGGAAAATAGAATCTTGAAAAGATGTAATGAAATGTCTTTCAAAATAATTTTTATAAAAGGCACGGTGGCTGGGAAGATGACTCAGTGAATCAGAGTGCTTACTCTACGTGCAATCATGAAGACCTGAGTTCAAATCCCCAGCGCCCACATAAAAAGTTAGGCATGGCTACACATGCCAGTAACAACAGCAGTGAGGGTTGGGGACGCTTAAATTCTAAGTGCTGAGTGGTCAGCCAGCCCAGCTGAAACGGCAAGCTTCCAGTTCACTGAGAAACCCTGTCTCAAGGCAATAAAGTGAGGAACAATACAGAAAGACACCTGTTCCACCTTACACGTGTGTATAAGTAGACATATACATCTGCACACTCATGAGCACAAACCACACACACACACACACACACACACACACCAGACATGCGTGCATGCATCAATACATAAATAAACAAAGCAAAGGTGTGGGCAAACTGTGGCCTTAATGGTAACTATAGCCTCTCCATAAAAAGGCTATTTTGTACAGTCATAGTGGCTAATGAATTTATGGGCCACTTCTTTCCAAATCTGGATATATACACAGTCACTAAGGTCCCTGGTTTCTTATGAGGACCAAGAGAAGTTGGAGTGACACCTAAATGAGTTACATAAGAGGTATCATAGAACCAAACTTGGTCCTGGGTTCAGGAAGGCTTAGGAAGCCATTGCCATATACTACAACCTAAATCCTGCCCACTGCCCCCTGCTTATGCCTGTTGTGGCCCTCCTGTCACTTTCAATACCTGTCACCTTTTGAAAACACCATTACCTCATCATGAAAGCTCATCCTAACCCCTTGTACCAAACTTCTCTGTTACCATTACAGTTCTGAAAATCATTGTCCTGGAAGACAGAGCTGTTTTAAAGTATGCTTAAATTGCTGAGCATTATCAATGAGTATTGACCAATATATGTTTTTGTCTAGTTTGTCTTTTCAGGAGCTGCCACAGTAAAATCAGCAAAACATCGGAGTAGATATATGGTAAGTTGAAATGCTTGGGGCATCTCTAGTATGTATGTTCACAAAACAGAACAAGAGATCTGAATGAAGACAGTGTTGGGCTGTACAGATGGCTCAACAATTAAGAGCACTTTCTGTTCTTACAAAAGACCAGAGTTCAGTTCCCAGTGCCCACACTGGCTTAAAACATCCAATACCTCCAACTATCAGATATCTGTCTTTCTCTGTAAGCAGAAAGCCACCGTGGTGCTCTTGTTTAAAACTCTACTTTATTTGTGGTGTTTAGGCTTCCACCTCCTTTCCCAACCTTAAACAGGAGAGGGGAAAGGATAGTGGAGAGAAGGTTCCAGACCCATTTACTTCTCCTAGCTCTTTAGCGTCAAGGGGTTCTCTTAGGGCTCTATACCAATCTCCGTCAACTGCAGATGCAGCTAGCGGTCTCCTCCACCCTGTTGCATCCCCGAATCATCTCTCTCCATCTGTCTGCTCCAAACCGCCACACAGCCTCTGGTCTCTGGTCTCTCCAAATTGCTCCACACCATACACCAACATTGAACTCCATGCCAAACTCCACCGAATGCCACGAAAGCCATGGTCTCTTTCTTGGCCTCATATTTGTACTCTGAGTCCTAGACCACGCCCCTCTCCATGCCGCACATGAAAGGCCATTACAAGCTTGCAAAGATCATGCTCCACACGTGACAATTAACAGGTGTGGACAAACTATAGCCCAACTAAAATCCCATGTTTGGGATTAAAACATAAGCATTTTTACATAACGTACAAAGAAACCAAAACTTCCATTACAGGCCTCTTAAGGCAGCTGCACTCACACGCACACACACACACACACACACACACACACACACACACACACACCTTCAGAATAAAAGAAAAACAGTCTCTAAACAATAAAGGAATCTATAAAATAAATGAAGTAAATAATAAAAACATGAGATCAGATTGTTTAATGTAGACCAGACACACTACTTAACGATCTTGATGACCTCCTGCTAAAGTACCTAAATTTAAATAATAATTTTTGTTTGGATTTCTATGCCTAACATTGCATGAATCGTGTGATTAAATATTGCTTACAGAATGTACAGCCTTTCTTCTGTGTGAACATTACTGTGCCTTAACACTTCATTTTCTGGCCTATCCACTTTGGAAATAGGGTTGTACTTTGTTTCAAAAGAGGGAATTTTCCAAGAAAAAAAAAACTGTTCATGGTGTAGACAAAAAATGATTACAAATAAAAATTTAGAATTTTAGACCTAAAAAGGTATCTTAGAAATCAATTAATCTAATCTTAAATTTTTACACGTCAGAATCCGGAGATGGATATATGGCTGCTCTTATAGAGGATTCAGGTTCAGTCCCCAGCACCAACGTGGTGGCTCACGGCCATCTGTAACTCAAGTCCAAGGGCATCTGACATCCGCTTCTGTCCTCCAGGAGCACTATGCATTGTGACATGCTGACCGGCATCCAGGGAAAGCACCCATACACATCAAATAAATAAAATCTCAAAATCCTAAAAAAAAAAAAAAAAATTGAAGTTGACAGGTGCTGGCAGCTAATAAAAAAACAGGATTCAAACATGTTAACTGCTATTTTGCTTTATTTCTACAAAGAGTCACCATTTCCCATTAGTTTTCTTTATCTTTTAACTCTTTCCGTCAGACATCTTGATCTTTCCTACAGCTGACTTACCAGATTATAAAACACAAAGGTTTTGAGAATTGATGGAATTCAAAAATTGGCTGCATCTAATGATAGATTCATGTTTCCCCTAAATTAATACTATTTTATGTAAGTCAGAAAAAAAATGGCAAGAATAAGCACACTTTGAGAGCTTCACAAACTATAAAGAAGTTTTAACTCGGTTTTTTCCAGTAGAAACAAACAAATAAAAAACATGTAAAATACTTACTCTGAATGTTGTAAGCTTACTTGTGTCTCCTTTTCAGCTTGTCTGTGCTCTGTCCCTGAACATACTTTGCGTAATTGTTACGATCATTGCCGCCAGCCTGACAATAGTGGAACTGGCTTATTTCCGGTCTGTGTCATATAGGAATTATGGACAAGCAGTAAGTAACTGAGTTTATGTTTGAAATGATGTTTTATTCTTTGAAAGTTTCACACAAGGTAGTTTGATCATATTCACCCACTTCCCTGCCCCCCCCCCCAGTGCCATTCAGATCCACCGCCATCTCCCTATTCCAGTTTCATTTTTGTATTCTATTTATTTCAGTAACCAGTGGAGTCTATTTTTGTCCTGCCCTTGCACTTACAGGGGTGAGGCCATCCACTGGAGTGGGATTGACCTACCCAGGGGCTATGTCCTTAAAGAAAACTGATTCTCCTTGCCCAGGCGCTGTCAGTTCTCAATGGTGCCTTAGTTAGGGATGGAAACTCCTGAGCTGCCTCTCCCCAACCTCTTCCAAGCTAGAATGTTGATTTGTTTAACCTTGTGTGTGTCTTGTGCAGGAAAACACAGGTTCTTTGAGTCTGTGAGTCCACAGCCCTGGCTTGTCCAGAAGACACAAAGATGCTGGTCCTCTGTGATCTATGGCTCTTAAAAGGTTCTTTGGCCACTCTTCCAATATGGTTCCTGAGCCATGAGCCGTGTGTGTGTGTGTGTGTGTGTGTGTGTGTGTGTGTGTGTGTGTGTGTGTGTTGCATGTATATATGTGAAGGCCAGAAATCACTTCAGGTGTCTCTTCTCTTGGCACTGTCCATCTTTAGTTTTGAGATACAGCCATTGGCCTCAAACTCCCCAAGCAGGCTAGGCTAGCTGGCTGTGAGCTACAGGGGTTAGCCTATGTCTGTCTCCCCAACACGAAGTGTGGGGACACTAGCTTTCTCCCTACCCTTGTCCCCGCCTCTGCTCCACCTCTCTCTCTCTCTCTCTCTCTCTCTCTCTCTCGCTCTCTCTCTCTCTCTGGTTCTGGAAACTGAGCTCACTTTCTCTGTCCTGCTGGCAAACACTTTACTGACTAAGCCATCCCCAGTCTCTCCACTGATGGTACCTTAACACAAAAAGAGCACAATTCCGGGCCACTGAGCCATTCGCCAAACCAGGAAGAGAGCCCTGCTGTTGCCACATGTGTTTGAACCACGAATACCTAATCATTTCTGGCCTCACACAGGTCTTTCTTAATGGCATGCTTTTGCATCTTCTGTGGATTTTGCTTTAGTGCCTCACTGCTAAATGTACATCAGGCTTGTTTCTTTGTACCCCAGACTACATATAAATGTAATATATCACACTATAATAAATGTGAATAGCTTTGTTGATAACACAAGAGATTTGCTTGAGTTGTATTGGCTTAGCGTTCAGAATCATCAGAAGAAGGAAGATCGTCAGAAGATCTCCCATGCTCATAGATCAGTAGGATTAACTTAGCAAAAATGGCCAGCTTACCAAGAGTCATCTGCAGATTCAGTGAAACTCCCATCAAAATATCAACACAATGCTTTACAGACCTTGGAAAAGTAATTCTCAGCTTCATATAGGAAAACAAAACACCCAGGATGGCTAAAACAATCCTTTACTCATGGAGAAGACAGTGCACGTGCTAACCTATGCACCGTTGGGACACGGTCTTCAGAAAACCTTGACATCTCACATGCACTTCTTAGCAATGATGATACCTGAAGGCCTATATACAAACCTGGCGGAAGCCCCGTGGTAGAAATGGAGGCAGGAGTAGGGAGGCTTACAGCAACTTGGAAAGAAATCAAAAAAGAAAACAAGTGATAAAAATAGAAAATGCAGAACAGCAGTCCAGTTCTAGAGAGTCTAATGTAACTGTGGAATTAAAAAACAAACAAACAAAAAAACAACAACAAAAGAAACAACACAAGAGGATAAACTAGAAGAGACCTGGAATACGCTTTTCTAACACCACTCTAAATGATGTTTTTCATCACTAAATATGAATGTTATTCTATTCCTTTATACTTGAAGAAGGCATTACTATGATCTAATTTAGTGGTATTTGAGATGGAGAGGATAAATTAATTAGGACATGAACACTGTAGTTATTATTACTGTAAATCCAAGTAAAAGCCCCCTAATTAATTTTCCAGAAACACTTTTCATTTGTTGGATACCTTCTATGGAATTGCCTCCAATGCAAAAGGCCACCAGAAATTATCCCATCCCTAGAAGCAAATGTGGAGAGGAGGCCTGCGGGAAGCCCAGCCTCTGATCAAGGGGGCGTCTAAGAACAAGTCCCTCCTTGCAGGACTCTGGGAGGAGCCCAGATGATGTAGTGTAGATATGAAGCTGGTCCACCTCTCCATCCCACACAAACACAAACACAAACACAATAGAAAGATGCAGAGAGAAGATTATCCACCCAAAAATGCTCAGGGAAATCAAACAGAAAAGGAAGGTCACCTGCTCTTGTGTTCCTTCTTCTCTTTGAATCTCACTCCAGGGTCCTCTTGGGTGGGCACTCACTAAAGATAAAATAACACACCACCTCTCCCTCTTTTCTGGTTTCAGAAGCTGGGGAGGGAAGTGTCCCGTGTCTTGTTGTTCTCCTACCCCCTGGAATTCGGGATTGCCCTCACATATGCAATCTGCAGCTGTTCGTATTTGGTAAGTGTTTTCTCTAGCAATTCAAGGGCTTTTGGCTTCCAGTAAACAAACTTGGCATTCTACAACTATCTGGAACTAATAATGTAATGTGTAATGTTTCCTTTACCTTTTGTTTTGTTGTTGTTTTGCTAAAAAAATTGGCTATAAAAATGACAAGAGTAATATATGACATTGTAAAATTAATTAAAAACACTTATGTACACAGCCGAGATACAAAGTGAATAAATTGGAATAAATAATAATAAAATAAAAAACAAAACAACACATATATGAGGTGATTCTTCCTTTAATATTGTTCTCATCCTCTCTACACATTCAATTAAACACAAATACACATATACACAAAGCTGGAGACACACCTTGCAGCCACAGTCAGGAAGCAGAGAGAGGTGGATGAATGCTGATGCTCAGGTTGCTTGCTTCCTTCTGTACAATCCGGGTCCTCAGACCACAATGTGATGCCATCCACACTTACGTGTCTCTCCTCACAGCTAACCCTGTCTGAAAACACCAACTCACAAAAATGCCTGTAGTGTATCTCCTGGATGGTTCTAAATCTCCTCTTTCAAATTAGAATTAAACATGGCACCCAATACCTCCAGCCCTTACGTTCAATTGGGAGGGTGTTACTGAAACAGCAGAGAGTTTGGTGGCAAATAAGCAGGTAAGACCACAGCACTCAATCCAGCTGAGATCATAGGAGTTCATATTACTGTTGTGACAAGAAATTGACAGAAACCCAACAGAGACACTCAGAGAAGTCAGCCACTACTGTGGACTCTGCTGATAGCTTAGTCATTCATCTGTATGAAAAAAAAAAGTAAACATGTTGACAGCTCTGCATGCACTAAGGAAACTAGAGACAGTCCTGCTAAGTTACCTGCCTGAGCTCATAAAAAGCCTCCAAAATTAAGGGAAATCTGGGATACACACAAATGACCCAAACTTCACAAACAGTTCTCAAATACACTAAGAAGACTTTATTGGCTGAAGGTGTGTCTGTTTTTCTAGTTCTACCACAGCAAAGCACCATACACTACGTAGCTTAAATGAGAAAATTTATTTCCTCACCATTCTATTTTAGAAGTTCAAGACCAAAGTTCAGAAGAATTAGTTTTCTCTAACGCCCTCTCCTTGGTTTTCAGTGTCTTTACGTGGACTTCCCTCGAACCGTTCTGTCCTACTATCGTCTGCACCCATCAGTCACACTGGAATACAGCCCAGCCAAATGTCATTTTTATAATATGTCTGATGACCCTTTGGAGGGACAAATGACCCTTTCACAGAAGTCTCTTAAGACCATAGGAACATGCAGATACTTACATTATAATTCAAAACGGTAGCAAAATTAAAAAGTAGAAACAAAAAATGATTTTATGATTGGACTCACCACAACATGAGGAACTATATTAGGAAGGTTGAGAACCACGGATTTAAGTTATCTAAAATTTATCTAAAGTATCTAAGAATTATCTAAGATGTCCAGTTTCAAACAACAGCATAAATACAATGAATGAAAATAATGACATGCGAGGGGGTTTGGAAGAAAATGGCCCACATAGCCTCCTAGGGAGTGGCACGATCCATGTGGCCTTGTTGTAGTAGGTGTGGCCTTATTGAAAGAAGTGTGTCACTGGAGGTGAGCTTTGAGGTTCCAGACGCTCGAGTGAAGACCAGTGGCATTCTCTTTTTTTCCGGCTACCTGCGGATCCAGATGTAGAACTCTCAGCTTCTTCTCCAGCACCATGTCTGCCTGTGTGTCACCATGTTTTCCACCGTGACGATAATGGACTAAACCTCAGTAAGCCAGCCCCAATTAAATGTTTTCTTTCATAGGAGTTGTCATGTTCATGATGTCTCTTCACAAGCAATAAAACACTGAGACAACATGTAACGTGAACACTCAGGAACTGATCCTTATGTCCTCTGTTAAGTATAGCTACCACTCCTCATCAAAAAAGGCGGGGGGCTTCTTTTTATGCCGGGAGCAATTGCATACTGGGTTGGCAGAAGCAAGCAAGTGAGGCACAAGTGAGCTTCCTGGAGGCAGCCCACTGGTTTTTGCATGACTGATGAATGGATGTATCCCTGGTGTAGTCAAGGCCTCAAGGGTTTTGACTCAAGACTGCTTATTGTTGCTATACTGCCTTCCCATGCTTGTGTCATAGATCTGGCATGGCAGAGACCCTCACTGCTTATTGCTTCACTCCATTGCACAGATTTCCTGTAGATTATTTTGAAGATGTACCCTCATGACATAGCGCTGTTTAAAGAAATTGATGGTTTCATAACCTCTGATGATGATTTTAAAGAATATCTGATTTGATTCAAGTAATTTTAAAACCCTCCTTCAGTACAGCAAAAACTGCTAGGAGCTCTATGAACCTTCATGTGTCAAGCACTTGATTTATACCAAGAGGAAAAACAAGACTGAAACAAATAATCAAGGAAATACATTCATTCTAGGTTTAGTCCAAGAATAAGGCCTGGGTGTACATCATGATAAAAAGACCATATGAATATAGAAACAAAGAATAAATGGTTAGCTATACAAGATAAGACAGATACCTGTTTCTTAGAAAGACCTTGATGTAAGAAAAAACTTGCTTTGAAGACATAATATATACTTGAAGTAAAAAAGATAAAATTTCTGCTTTGAACTCACAAGAGCATATAGATAAAACTACTGCTTTAAAAAAACTACTGCTTTAAACTTATAATAAGAAACCTAGTTAGATACTAGGACCAATAGTCCTTCTGTAACCCCCTTTTTATGTAATGATTAAAACTATTTTTAATGATGTATTTTCCATACATAGACTTTGTAGCCGTAAAACACACACACACACACACACACACACACACACACACACACACACAAGACAGAATTAAGCATGTGTTGAGGCCACCCACTTCATCCAAAAACGTGTCTGTCCATATATACAGATATACTTATATCTGTATACTTACATATATATGGATGAATGGTGTCAGAATCGGGCCAAGTTTCAGAATTGAGGAAGACTTCAGAAGCAAGGTATAGAACCAGAAAGCTGTAAGGGAGAAGAGCAGAACCACGTCCACATAGAGTAATGGGCAAACAAATGGACAGCAGATCCAGATGAACGAGTGGCGGACAAATAAATGACAATTGAAAAGGCCACATCAAGAATGGAGACCAACCCAGCATCCCCAGGCTCCTGGGAAAATCAGAATTCTCTTCTTGCCCTTCCCTTAGCACACACACACAGGCAGGCGGTAGAAGTCTTCGCCATCACAGTGTATGGGGATGGCAACACTGGGTACCCAGTAAGGGGGCCACACCCTTTCCTCCTCTATGAGTTCTTGGGCTCTTTCCCACATGGTTTTAATATGCTCCTGGGCTCCTATAGTCCTACTGTACTTGGGTAAATTAGTACAGTGGCACCTTTACTACCTTTAAAAATAACTTATAAAGCAGTCTCTGTCTTGAGGGCGGTGCCCGGCTGGTGACGGTGTCTATGTTCAAGGTGCTCCCGAAATACATACCTTTTAATTCCATTCATGTGAGGTTTCAAACAAAGCAAACCTAAAATAGAACTGTAGTGTTTATGGATGCAAACTTAGCTGGGAAAACTAGAAAGAAAGAAAAAAAGAACTGATTACCTGAAAGTCAAATAACCCTGGAAATGGAAAGAACGGGCAATCACTGGGGTATGTCATTTGAAGCTAGGATCACTCTGAGAGTGATGGCATACGTGTTGTGTTCAAGCAGAACACGACTTTAAAAAGCAAAAACCAGGAAGGAGCTTGACTGGGTGGTTAGGAGCATGGGTTGCTTTTCCAGAGGACCGAGGCTCAAGTTCAGCTCCCAGAACCCACAGGGCAGCTCACAAAGATCTGTAACTCCTGTTCCAGGGACCCAACATTCTTTTCTGGCCTCCTCAGGCATCAGGCATGCAAGCGGTACACGAACACACACGCAAGCCAAACAGCCACACACATAAAAATAAGTATCGGAAAGTATATCAGAGGTTACGCAGTAGAGACTTTAAAATAAGGTAGATTGGATTGAGAACAAACAGCACTGTGGACCCTATTCTGTGAGCACCAGTGTCACCTGTATTCTTTTTAACTCTCTATTACTCACATGATTTGATACCCTGGATGTCAACTTACAGTTGACTGCTTTTTCTTTCTAGGGAAGGAGACGACAGGACAGTATAGAAACTGTTACTGACGTCATAGAAAGCAGCCTCTGAGAGCTGAAGAAGACATGAGCAACTTTCATGGCTACTGACACCTGATTTAGGTGCCAATGATCTTTCTATGTAACAAGGCCACTGCACAACCCATACGTTTTGTGCGAAAGGAAAATCACAGCAGGTTGAAAGTCACCCCTTGGTATTTAAGGAGTGTCTACACACATATCTTCTAGGTTCCAGAGGGGAAAGCTTTTCCTATGTAAGTATGATACTATCACAAGAAAGCGTTTGCTAACTAGCCACTCTGAAGAACTGTCAACTCTCCCCAGCAGATCATCCCCAGCCAGCCATAAAAACCACCTGTAACCTGTAGAGCGCAGGCTATAAAATTTGGAGCATAATCCGTAATTCAGAGGAAGACTTTAATTTCTGTCCCTGTAAGTGAAAAGTACATTCCACACTCCGCATTCTTCTGCTTCAGCTAGCTTCTACCTCCACAAAGCAAGGATCCAAAGGTCGCCAACTGAGTGCCTTTATTGTCCCATGACTTTTCCTGTCCTCATTAAAGTTCCTTTCTGCCCTGCATGTCTCCGCTGCCTTTCTCCCTTCTCGTTCCCCTGCTTTCTACTACTCGTTATTTGAGTTGATGTTCGCTCACATTGCGAAGCAAACCGCTCTCCCACGTTGAGCAGCATTTCCCAGGAAGCTGTTGTACATGCAGTTTCCATGCTTTTCGCAATGCTAAGGAACGCGGGTGTTTTTACATCCACGGTGGGCTGTTTTCTCTCCATCTCTCAAGGCATTACACGGTTGTTCTCCAACTATCAATAAAGACTTTCCCACTCCTTTATATATTTTTTATTAATTTGTTTATTCGGTTTACATCTCGGTTGTAGGCCCCTCCCTCCTCTTCTCCTAGCCCCACCTTCCCTCCTGCACTCCCTCCCCTATCCCTGAAAATAGGGAAGCCCCCACATCCACACACCCCAGCTCATCCAGTCGCATGAAGACTGAGTTTGTCTTCTTCCCCTGTGCCCGGTAGGACAGTCCCATTGGGAAGTGATCAGAAAACAGAGTCCATGTCAGAGATAACCCCCGCTCTCCTCACTAGTGACCCCACTTGAAGCCTGAGCTGCCCATCGGCTATTCCCTCAATCTCTCCTCTATGTGGGCTGCAGAGACGGCTCAGTGGTTAAGGGCACTGGCTGCTCTTCCAGAGTGATCCAGGTTCGATTCCTAGCACCCACATGTCAGCTCACAATGGTCTGTACCGGCAGTTCCAAGGGATCTGACACCCTCACACAGACACGTATGCAGGCAAAACACCAAAACATATGAAATAAGCTTTAAAAAAAAATCAGAGATGAGCTAAGCACTGAAATTTGTAGCATCAAGAAATCTTAATTGTCCCTGCAGGTCTTGTAGACAGGGTAAGTTTTGGGACAATTAAGATTTCTTGATGCTACAAATTTTACTGCTTAGCTCATCTCTGCAAGTCTGCTTTGTGCGTTGCAAGTATTAAACTGTCAAAGATTAACAAGATGCCTCATGAGAGTTCTTATTTTAGGAGAGGGACAAGCAGTTAAGAAATCACAACGGTGAGTGATTCATATATTAAGAAGTATGTGAAAAATGGAATATGACAAAAGAGAGGATGCTCTTTCTGGCGTAAAGATGATATTTTGTGAAAACTCCAAACAGGAGATTTGTACTTTGGGGGTTTGAAACGTGGGAGGACATTTCAAATGGAAGAATTAGGGTGGCTATTCCTCTACTGAAGAGGAGGAGGAAGAGGAGAAGGGAGAAAAGGAGAGAAAGGGAGAAGAGAAAGAAGGTAGAGAAGAAGCAAGGGAAGGAAGAAGGCAGAGAGGAGGAAGGAAATAAAAAGAGGGAGAGGAGGCGAAGAAGAGGAGGAAGAAAAGAGGATGAGGGTTGAGAATGTCGTCCATAACTACAGCTCCTGCAGGGTTCTCCTTACATCTTTCTCTCAAATTCGTATCCTCCATTTTCTAAAACTGTATAACCGACTGAGTTCAATTAGTGTACCTGATGTACCTGAGTGTAGGCTGACCAGTAGAGCCTGAGCAAGTCCTGATGGCCCCACCCTATAATAAAATGATCTCTCAGTTCCCAAACGGATGTCAGCTACCTGCATCTCCTCAGGTAAGAGCAGAGCCGGTGAGCTCTTCAGCCATCCATGCTGAAGTGTCGGAGGTCTACTCTTCTGAGAGTCTTCTGAAGATCACCATAGATGTTGGCAGTCCATGGGTACAACATTCCTGTGGTGTCTAAAAGTCACTATTTTCCAGCAACCCTCCTGGTCCTCTCACTCTTACCATGCTTCTGCCCCCATCTTCCACAATGTCCCTTTGAGGCAAATCTGTCCTCTGAGGCCACATTTTTCTATGACAGCATTCATATCCAGGTTGCAAAATCCAGCAACCAAGAGCTCAATTTTTGGCAATTCAGCCATCATTGTACTTTTTTTTTTTTTTTTTTTTTTCCTAAAGCTCAGGGATCTGGAGGGATGTCCTTTCTTCTTCCTGCTCCTTCCCACCTAAGTTTGATTCTGTTTGTCTGACCTCCTAAAATTAAAATGGATCCGCTCTCATCCCACCCACCCCCCTTTCCACAGGAAAACTCTATGGGGAAGGGAGATTCTGCATTTTTCTCCATTTCTTACTCTCAATACGTAAACAGTGTCATTCATATTTCTGATCAGCAGGGCTTTGTTCAACAAATTATATAATACATGAAATCCCTGATACTGGGTGCCTCAGCAAATTGCCTGTGAGGGAACACTTCTTTAGTTGGCAGGCCAAAAAAAAAAAAAAAAAAAAAATCAGCTTTGCTTTTGAGACAATATAATCTGAAGACGTTGGAATGGATGACCTTTCATTCATTTATTCACTTCTGCCAGGTGCCAGATCTAGCACCCTTATACTAAATGTTCGGTGGGTAGGGACCCATATCATAAATGACAGTCTCACGTAAGCATGATGTCTGTTGTTAGGCTTCTCTGATACCTATTATTTAGGACTCGAATAGCCATTTTTCATGGTTAATATTTTTTTGTTTGACACATTCATACGTTTCTATAATGAATTTCAGTCATCTTTCACCTTCACCCCCAACTCCTCTCATCCTGCTCCGGATCCCTTTTTAGCAAATTTGCCTCCAGCCTCCATGTCTTCTTTTGCCCACCGTATTTATTAGCTAGAGTTTCTTGTCCCAGGGCGGATGACAGACTTATGCAATTTAATTTCTGAACCTGGGACGGACACAGAACAGGTGTGACCTTGATTTTGCAGAAAAACAAAGAACCAGAGAAGACACATCCTGCCAGATCTGGGGTTCCAAAAGCACTCTTTCCTTCTAGAGTTTAGAATTCGGATTTTGAGGAGACTCACAAGAGAAAGACTTGCTTTCCATCCAGCCACTGGAAAACAGCGGGGGGCAGGGGGCATTTGCTTGGCAGAGAAGTCCATGGAGCAGGGAATCAGCCTTAGCCGGGCTTACACACTCTGCAGATTAATAGCTAGACCGTGCCCACCAATGGCCAGTAAACGGTGTCTGCACTACAGCCCCCCAACCCCGCTGGCCCTATCACCTAACCCCGTCTGTATCTGGTGGGCCTGAGGATTGTGTGGAACCTCCAAGGGCCGGCAGAACTAGCGTCTGCGTGGCCCTCCTCACGTGGCGCCCTTCACGGTTGCTCTGGGACACAAACGGCAGCTGTGCTGCGTTGGATCCACAAGAGGTAATGAGGGACGCATGGTGGTGGCAGCGTCACTGAGGCAGGCAGGTGCTGCCTGCAGGAATCCCAGGGCAGGACGATCTGGACCTAAAAGCAACCCCTTCAGGATTGCCCCCTTCCAATACTGAGATTACGGCAGAGTAGGGAATCCATGACCCTTGAACAGACCACATTAAGAACAGCCGTTAGACACCACTTTCTGGTGAGTTTCAATTCTATACTAGCTTCTTTTTTTCTCCCTAATACAACCCTGCAGGTGATTCTTGTCGCTGAGAAGAGCCTTTGAAGGAGTTTGTTACATTTTTAACAAGTCACCTGTAAGGGGTAAGTTTTAACACGAATATTCTAAAATTTTCTTTGTGTATTTTGTGCCTTTTTTTCTTCTTGTCAGATGTCAATGGACCATTACCATGGCAACTGAATCCTTCCGAGTTCCTGGCTTATTTAAGGAGACGGAAATGTTTGCAAACGAACGCTCTAAAGACAGTGTTGTGAATTTTAGATACGACTATATGTAGTGGTTGAAGGAAAAGGGAAAAGATTGATCAGACAGAGACTAGAGCAGGATTGGGTCGCGGAGGAGAGGTCATGGGGGATGGGGCAGAGATTGTCAAAGCCATATTTAACTAGAAGGCCGCTCGAAACAAATGCATTAACTTTTTGGCTGAAAAAAAAACAAAACAAACTACCTTTTATTTGTTTTAGCAAAATTAATATATATGAGTATTTACATAATGTGCAGGCAGCCAGACTTCCAAAGGAAAAAAAAAAGAACTAAGAGGTTGAAGGTGGTCATAAGGTGATAAATTCTGTTCTTTTTTGATCCCTGATTTTCTCTGGGTGCCCTTCTTCCCACACCCAAAGTTTTGTCCACTGCAGTCCTGTCCTTTAGAACAGATTAAACCTAATAATGCCTTGACTTTTAGCTTTTACATCTTTGTGCTCACAGATTTTGCCAGATCACCAGACAAGGAGTTTACCCTGTACCCCACTAAGTGACTTAGATAACTACTTTCGTTGAGGCCAGCTAGAAGAAAAAAAAAAAAAAACGTTTTCATGGGTATCAAATATAGGAGCTGAAGGAGGGTTGTGACACATACAAAATCGGGACCGTAACCCTCCCTGTCAATGCTAGCAACCATGAGTTATTCTTGTCTTGCCTACTGAACATCCGCCTCTGGTCGTCTTATTCGCTAACTTAAGAAGCCTCCCTATATACAGCACTTATTTCCCAGGCTCCTCTGCATCGGGGGTAAACGTGTGATACAGATTATTCTAGTCAGGCACCTCCCAGACAGACTTGAGCTCAGACAACACTGATGACAGGTAATAGGCTAAATCAAATCTACCAAGGGTCTAGACTTCCTGAGACAGCAATGTGGGTATACGTGGGTAGGTGCTAGACGGACTGATGTGATTGGGGCCGCTATCACATAGTACTTACCATGGTCTAACTCAAGTGTGATCAAGGAGCAAGACTTTTTGAGAGGTGGTAAATACTACCTTTGTCAAAATACTAGTCTGGTGCAAAAGCATCTGTCCGGGAGCGATCGAGTATCTTTTTAAAAAAATGAATGGCAGCTGTATAATTGGATTTCCCCCTCAGGCTTAGGAATCTTACCCAAGGGAATAAGAGTAACTAGTTTAATTCATATTGATTTTTCTCCATGTTTTTCACAGGAGAGAAACTTATCCTTACATCCCTCTGTCACATCTTGATAATTATGCCACAAAATCGTCTGTGGATAAAAAAAGAACTGAGATTGTTGGGGGTAAGAACAAAATACTATTTGAGGATTTGGAGTAAGTCAACACCATAACACATAAGCTAGGAGACATGGGCCACCCCTGCATCCTCGATGAACTCCTCAGATGAAGGCCAATTACCATGTCCTGTGGTGGTGACATGACATCAAAAATGCAGAGCCTGGAAATGAGGAGGAAAAAAAAAAAAAAAACCCTCTCTTTTACAATCTACCAACTATCTCAGCCCTAACCTGATGACGTGTGCTGAATGAGGTGAGCAAATTGTCAGTACCTCCAGAAGGACCTGCAGACTGCAGAGCTCTCTGAGCAGCGGTTAGTTACAGAGGTGTGTGCTGTCCGCATCTCACAGGCACGCTGCTGCTTGCCCAGGCGATCCCACCCACCACACTTTCCGGCTGTGTGATTTTGTGTCAGCCATGCATACTGCTGACTGATAGAGCCAGACTGAAAGTTAAGCGTGGAGGATTAGCTTAGCGTGAAAGTGGTGCTCACGCCCGACGCCTTCGCACACTGAATCTACACGCTCCTTCTGCAGAGGGTCCTTACTGTCTTAGAGAGCGGATACATCCCAAACTATTTACTCCAAAAGACCCTCCGAGCTACCATTTAAGCTGTATCATTTAGACTTGTATTTAGAACATGTCGCTTCCTTCAGCTGTCACTGCCTGTATGGAGTCGTGGACAGCATGGGATGCCTGTCCTCTAGTAGAATACAAGCCTTAGTAAACACGTGCTGAGCAAACAAAAACAAATAAATAAATTAGATGAGAAAAGTCCTAAACAGTCAAAACACACACACACACACACACACACACACACACGAATGCACGCATGCACCTATGAGTGGGCACAGGATACCTAGAAATAAGTAAATTAAGCAAAGTCACAAGATACAAGATGAACTGTGTTTCTATAAGATAATAATGAACATGAAGATATCAATCCCTAAAGAAAAAATACATATATGGAAGAAGCCGAATATAGGACTTGTATTTTGAAAATGACTAACAAAAATTATCAATTTAAGTTATGTCAATAAAAAGACACATGTATGGATTGCAAATCTCAACATAGTAAAAAATGTTAGTCAGCCCTAAATTGGCACATGGGTTTGGCATAATTCCTATTAAAATCCTAGTAATATCTTGAATATAGCTATATACATTTTTAAATGAATTAATTTATTTATTCACTTTACAACCCAGGCGTAGACCCCTTCCTCCTCCTCTTCCAGTCCCATCCCCCATCCTCTATTCATCAGAATAGGGGAGCCCCCTACCCACCCACCCCAGCTCATCAACCCACATGAGGACTGAGCATGTTCTCCTCCCCTATGGCCTAGTAAGGCAGTCACGTGAGGGGGACGTGATCAAAAAGCAGGCAAAGGAGTCCACATCAGAGACAGCTCTCGCTTCCCTCGCTGGTGAGGCCCCACGAAGCCTGAGCTGCCCATCAGCTGCATATATGTGGAGGACCTAGGTCTAGTCCAGGCATGGTTCTTGGTTGGTGCTTCAGACTCCACAGGCCCCTCTGGGCTCTGGTTAGTTTGCCAAAGATTCTGTAGGAGAGAGAGGGAACAAAAACAGCTAAATCAAAGGAGGAAAAAAATCGTACTAATTGATGTTTAAGATACTGTCTGTCTACAGTCATCAGATTATGTGATTTTTTTTTTTTAATAAGAAAAAGCACAGACAACTAGAGCCAAACACACAGGCCAGAACTAGACTCTACAGATACAGCCAACTGATTTCTGGACTAGGAACTGTTTGTGTTTTTGAGAAGGGGTCTATATACCCCAGGAGGCCTCAAACTACTAATCCTACCTCCTCAGCCTACCAAGGGTCATTGTGGATGTGAACCACCATGGCTCAGTCAGTTGGGTTTTTTTGTTTTTGTTTTTGTTTTTGTTTCATAAAAAGAACTCAATGTACAGTGTCACATAAGAATAAAAACTAGAGATCAAGTCTAAAGAGACACAATGAGCCTTAATAGACTCCTAACCTTTTAAGAAATTCAATGAATACTTAAAAAGTTCTTGCTCTCCCATTTAAAAAAAAAAAAGTCAGAATGAAAATTAAGACATGGTGATTCAGAGCAGGCAGAAGCATGTTGCCAAGGAACAGAAGTCCTCGTGCAGGCGAATCTTCCCACGGAGTTGAACAAACAATACTTTCCACTCACCAGAACTAAAAGAGACTTGGCCTAGCTTCATCTCTGTGGTGAAGTAAAGTGTTCTGAGAAAACACCTTCAAGGGAGATGGGGTTTATACAGCTAACAATTCTGGATCACAGTCAAGGCAGGAACTTGAAATGATTAATCATATCCACATTCAAGGGCAGAAAGAAAATAACCACATGCCTGTCAACTATTCAAAGTCACTCTGAGTCTGTCCACATCAACTAATGTAATCTAAACAGTCCCCCACGGACATGCCCACAGTCTGATCTGGTCTACACAAATCCCCTTGGGGCTCTCTTCTCAGGTGACTCTAGGTTATGTCAAGTCGACAAAAAAGGACTAGCACTTTAAAAAAATATTTTATTTATTACAGTTTATTCACTTTGCATCCCAGGTGTAGCCCCCCGATTCATCCCCTCCCAATCTCTCCCTCTCTCCCTCTTCTTTTCCCCTGCACCTTCCCCAGTCCACTGATAGGGGAGGTCCTCCTCCCTCCCTTCCATCTGACCCTTGCCTATCAGGTCACATCAGGACTGGCTGCATTGTCTTCCTCTGTGGCCTGGTAAGGCTGCTCCCACACACACACTTCAAAGAGCCAGCCACTGAGTTTGTGTCAGAGACAGTCCCTGTTCCCATTATTAAGGAACTCACTTGGGTACTGAGCTGCCATGGGCTACATCTGTGCAGGGGTTCTAGGTTATTGCCATGAATGGTCCTTGGTTGGAGTATCAGTCTCAGAAAAGACCCTTGTGCCAACATTTTTTGGTTCTGTTGCTCTCCTTGTGGAGCCCCAGTCCTCTCCTAGGTCTTTCTATCTCCCCCTTCTTTCATAAGATTCCCTGCACTCTGCCCAAAGTTTGGCTATGAGTCTCAGCATCTGCTTTAATACCCTGCTGGATAGAGTCTTTCAGAGGTCCTTTGTGGGTAGGACCTTGTTTTCATCCTCTTCCAATGTCTATCCCCTTTGCCTCTGAGTGAGGATTGAGCATCTTACCCAGGGTCCTCTTTCTTGCTTAGCTTCTTTAGATATACAGATTTTAGTATGTTTATACTGTATTATATGTCTATAATTATATTATATGAGTATATACCATTTGTGTCTTTCTGCTTCTGAGATATCTCACTCAAGATGATCTTTCTAGTTCCCACCATTTGCCTGCAAATTTCATGATTTCCTTGTTTTTAATTTCTGAGTAGTATTCCATTGTGTAAATGTACCACAATTTCTGTATCCATCTGTTCCTCAGTTGAGGGACATCTGGGTTCTTTCCAGATTCTGGCTATTACGAATAAAGCTGCTAAGAACTTGGTTAAGCAAATGTCCTTGTTCTATACTTAAGCATCTTTTGGATATATGCCTAGGAGTGGTATAGCTGGATCTTGAGGTAGTACTATTCCTAATTGTCTGAGAAAGCACCAGATTGATTTCCAAAGTGGTTGTACAAGTTTGTATTCCCACCAGCAATGGAGGAGGGTTCCCCTTTCTCCACATCCTCTCCAGCATGTGTTGTCACTTGAATTTTTGATCTTAGCTGCTCTGATGGGTGTAAGGTGAAATCTCAGGTCATTTTGATTTACAATTTTCCTGATGGCTAAGGATGTTGAGCATTTCTTTAGGTGTTTCTCTGCCATTCAATATTCCTTTACTCTGAATTCTCTGTTTAGCTCTGTACCCCATTTTTTAATTGGATTACTTGATTTGTTGCTGTTTAACTTCTTTAGTTCTTTATATATTTTAGATATTAGCCTTCTGTCAAATATAAGGTTGGTGAAGATCCTTTCCCAATCTGTAGGCTGTCTTTTTTTTTTCTGATGACAAAGGGCTAGTATTAATGTTACCATGATGCCAAGACCAAATAAGATTTTTAATAGTGGATGATTAAAAGCCATTTCTTCTTGTTTCCAAAGTCAACACAAAACATAAAGAGATTATTTCACTGAATAAGATAGATAGAGGGCAAATAAACATCTATAAAGATATTCAACATCATTAACCACTGAAGAGTGAGAACAGGGGATTGTGAGTGAACATTCTGCATGTACTACAAACAAACAGTGGCCAAGCAAATGCCAGAGATCCTCCCTTAACACTGAGGATGAGGATATGAAAAATGGTAACTGGTACTCTGAATTGTATTCCAGCAGCCTCTTTTAAAACAAACATCCAGCTACCATTAAACCCAGAAAATGTACTCCTGGACATTTATCCCAGAGAACTGAAAACTAGTCTACACAGCTATTTCCAGGTGATTACTCATAGTCTTCACTTCCAACTGACAGTCAGGTGAATAATTGAGCCATCTAGAGTCCCAGATGCCATGGTCTACTATAAGAAGAGAAAGAAACCACACAAAGATACTACAGCTTGTTGGGTTTCCATGCTATTCCACTGAAAAGGCCAGCCTCAAAAGGTATATTTGGAATTGTGTCCTTTATCAAACACTCTTGAAATTATGCAAGTATGAAAAACAGATGAGTGATCACCAGGAGTTACAAGCGTTCCTTGGAAAGTTACAAGAAAAGGCAGAACTTGGGATGTCTTTGTAGTGACAGAATAGGTCTGTGCCTTGATTATGGTTGATAAAACATGACAAAATGGCCTAAGACACACAGAACATTATACCACAGTCGATGTCCTCATTCTAAAGTTCTGCAAGTTATCACTATCTTGGAGTCATGGAGGAACATCACCTTTCTGTTTCTTTCTGGATTTTTTTTTGTCTTGAGGTGTGTTTCTTTTTAAGAGTTAGCTGAAACTGTGACTAAGAATGGTTATCTTTTCCTTTCAGACAATACAAATAATGACTAGCTTCATTGTAGAGAGCCTGGGATACTTCTGGACATACCTGTCCTTTTCTCAAGGTTTTGCATTTGGAATAGGACATAAGTATATTCCTATCATAGGAGCTTCAGGATACTCGCTTTGGGCCTCTTTGCTGGTGAGTAACTTCATCTCTGATGGTAACCATTAATGCATGCCTTACATTTCATGGACTTTGATCCAAGCAACACACCAGAGATAGGATGCAATCCCTGTTCCCTAGGAAACCATTCCCACATGTACCTGAAAAGGGACAATAGCAATTAAAAAAAAAAAAAAAAAAAAACTTTAGTCTATTACCTGAACTGTTCTCGCACAATAATACTCTACCTTTGTTGGCTTTTTAGCCAACCTGTGCAGATCTTGTCAGGTAGACCTGGGATCCGAAGACCTGAAAGAATGAGACCACCTCCATGCAGTCTGGCGCTGTAGACAACTTTACTTTAGTGTCAGTGTACTTCTATAAACAAACGAAACAAGGAAAGCAATGGTTCTAAGAATGTTTGCTTGAGTTCGGAAAAGCATGTGTAAAAACGTCAGTGAGCATATACTAAATATTAATAGAGCAGCCCCTTCCCAGAAATTTCTCAGGGCAGACCAATTTAAAAGCAATTGTCTGGCACATACTATAGATTATATTTGAGAAGGCATGAAAACAAGGCGGAAGGCCATATCCAAGTTTAGGGTATACTGACCAGATTGGGTTCTATAGCGATGTTCCGACATCTAAGAAGAATAAACATGTCTTGTAAATTGAATGTAAATGTTTGTCACAGAAGGCATGAAATCACATCCAAGAACAATCCAGAAAACAACATTCCCCTGAGGTAAAGGCCCTCTGCCTTTTTCCCAGAGCTCTCTCACAATTCCCCAAAGGCATTGTTCACCATACATCACCTTTTTGATCAAGTTCCAACATATCCCACTTTCTAATTTTTTTTTTTAAATCTTAGGGTATTCATTCTTGTTTGGAACCATCGGCATCTTAAGAGAAGCCCAAAAAGACATGATAAGTGCAACACTAGAGGCAAGGGTTCATGACACTTCATCAGGAGCACTAAGGGTTCATGCCTTGTAAGGCATAAGCAATCCCTTTTTGTGATTTCTTGTCTTGAAATTCCAAGCAACTGCTTAGAAAACATCTGAAATTTTTCATCTTGATACCCAGTAGTCTATTTCTTCATATGACATGGGACAGGACAATGGCCACATGTAGGGCTGAGCATCCTGAAAGTTCCAGAAGCTAAGTAATAGGTTCCCCCACTGCGGCAAATTTTAAAACTTTAAAGTAAATAAGGTAATAGCAAAAGTCTCAGAAAGTAGTCTCCTTTTTTATTTTTTTAAAAATTCTTTCTTAAGGGTGGAATGTGTATGTTCTACAAATGTTTGACTTTGTGGGTTGTAAGTGTTTCGGGTGATGTGTTGGATTTGCCATTCATAACAGGATTTCTTAAAACCCCCACTAGTAAAAAGCAGGACCATTGGTTGTTTTTAACTGTGTGGGAATACCTGTAACCATAAATGTCTTCAATAAAATGGAAATAAGAGCTTTGGAGGAGGGTCATTTACCTGCTTTTGAATGCTGAATAGTTAATATTGTATTATTAGGGCCTGACCATTAATACTTAAATGTCAATTAATACTTATTGACCATCTCTGCTTGGGAACAATATGATTAGCAACCGGGGCACCCAAGACCACAGAGTCATTGACATAAACAGAAGTATTATTCTCTTCCCAATTAATAAAGCAAAGCACAGGAGGCTCAGTGACATCAGCACAGTCTGTCTCAGGGTAACAAATGCATTCAACAGAGATAAGATAACAAAAACAGGGGGCTGGAGAGATGGCTCAGCGGTTAAGAGCACTGTCTGTTCTTCCAGAGGTTTTGAGTTCAATTCCCAGCAACCCTCTACTGCCCTCTTCTGGCCTGCAGGTGCACATGCAGCTAGAGCACCAATATGCATAATATAAATAAATAAAATATTTTTTTAAAGTATCAGTGGACTAGAGGAGGGGCATAGAGTTAGAAGAGGCAGGGAGGGTGGAGTTGGGAAGAGACCCAGGGACAGGAACACAGCTGGGATACAAATTGAATAAAACTGTAATAAATAATGATAATAATAAGGCTGACATGTTTTTTAAAAAAAAAAGGTAGCAAAAACAGCAATTTTGCAGTCATACCCTTTGCCTGAGATTTCAACTCTTTTCTCTCAGTCATTGATTTCTTCATCTGAGTCATTTTGGGTAGGGAAACTTTGTGCTTTGGGTTTGACGACTGTGTTGCTACATTCTATTTCTTTTCTTCAGGTGAGGCTCTGTAAATGCTTTGGAACTTCTTGGTCCATCTTCCACAGGTCAAATCAGCTTTTCAGGTATCCACGCCGGCTTTTCAGCACCCTGAGGAAAAAGACAAACAGCTTCAGCTTCAGTGAATTAATGGAGCTGGGCCATTCAACCAGCCAGACAAAACATTTCCCCAAAGAACTATGACCCTGACTTGTTTTGGAGGGGCCCAAAAATGTTCTGCAGCAGTAAGGGCACCCTTGCCCAAATTTAAAAAAAAAAATTTAAGAAGATAAAATATTGTGAGGAGTAATCACGCCACCCTACTCTCCTCCTTTATTTTGAAATAACATTTACGTTCTTCTGTTAGCTCTCTCCACAAAAGACTGAAACCCAGGGGTTACATGGGATGTGGGTGCTGTGGGTTAGATCAAACTGGTGGCAAAATCCCTGAAAAGGTTTGGCAATGTATGTCAGAGCATTATTAGTTTTTTAGAATCTTACAAGGGCATAATATAGGTGAAGCCAGGGTTAAGTCGTCCAAGGGATTTAACAAAAATTTCAGGATATTCTTACGAGGAATAAAAATTTAAAGGGTTAATACAATTTTTACTTTCGTAAACAAATCTTTTAGCATTTTATTATTTTTTCATAGAAAGCAGAATATCGATATAATGTAGAATAAAAGCAAGAGAGAACAGTTCTTGAGCCCTTTTTAAAGCAATTGCAAAAATCTTTTGACACAAAGTTGGGCTATTCATCATTGTTTATTCCTTTTCCCATGTCAAATGACTGCCAATAGTCAAAGCACTGTATGCTCTTGGAGGCCTGTAGCCAGAGTTAACCCTTGAGTGTGCAAAAGATCAATATCAGCACAGAGGTGGGTGTAATCATTAATATCACCTCTCTTTTGAAAGAGGCAACTAGCATATGCCAGTTGCTTAATAAGAAGTTTTTCTGCCTTTCCATCAACCTTAAGACAACTGACTGCCTGTGAAAGATGAGAAAGTCTTGATATGGTTTATCAGGCTGTTGTCTGATTTTAGAAAGTTCCTATCTTTTTTCCAGAATCTGGTAACTTACACCATGCATCCTCTCTCCCATCAAATAAGGGCCTCCTGCTGGCAATGGCAGCACAGCATCTTCCCCCTTCCCCCATTTGTTCCAGTCATCAGTACAGTTCTCAGGGAGAGGAGGTTATAATATTTCAGGCAGAGAAGCAGATGGCCAGAAGCAGTCATCCTCCACTGGAGCCAACACTTTTACCTTCAATTTTCTTCCATTCTGTTCCTTATGAATTTGCACTGGGGAGAAAAAAAAAACTTTCTAGCTTGTAATTTTTTTTCCTTGGGTCTCATTATCTAGCTCATACTCATGTAAGGAATCTGTAATCTGTAATAGCGTTTTCTAAATCCTTTGGCTCATCCCCACTTGTTTGCATCACGATATGGACCGATGCCCGAGTCACCCAGGATGGCACTGGCATACCTTCTCCTTATCCATGGGCTTTCAATCTATTTTCTTTAATTTGATCCTCTGATAAAGTGCCCCTTTCAGCAAACCAAGAACTATATTCTGTTATTAAATCCCAACGTTCCTGTAGCGGGGCTTTAAGGCGTTGCAGCACCATTGTGTCAACTCAATACATGGTGCTGGTTTTCCTACGTTTAGCCCCAAATGAATCCCTGCTTGCCTCCTTATGCAGGAGTCCCCATGTCCTCTAAAAACTTTTCATTAAGGTCCCTGTTCAGGCAACATTTGTCGACGCTTTAGCCAACCTGTGCAGATCTTGTCTGCTGGACCTAGAATCTCCTCAGTTTCTCCCCTGAAAGAATGGGGCAACTACAGTCTGCACTGTTAAAGGGCCATTTGATACATAAAAAAAATAAAATAAAACCAGTTTCTTACCCATAATGTTCCTTCATAATAAGAGTGTACATTGCAAAAAGGTTATTTGATACATTTGTGCCCATGATAACGAAGACAAGATGCATTAATGGAAAACAAAAGCAGTTTGATGCAAATCAGTTATGCACATGAGATGCTGAAGTCATTTCAAGGTGCCCCTGGATTCCATTTCTACTGCATCTGTAACATTAGTGGCTAGAACCATCATAGATTTTATCTCTGTAAGTATAAATCTTGAATTATTTCTTGGTTTGTTTTCTTAATAACCCCACTAAGGAACTGAGATAATACCCCTCAAGTTAGAGCATCCTAAAATTATCTTGAAGTTTATGTATAGACATAATGACTGGGTATTAACAAATGTGGCCTTTGCTTACAGTTTATCCTGTCAGGAAGTTTTTCAATAGTTCTACAGAGGAAACCTTCAAATAATATGGTAAGTCAGAAGACTTAGAGCAGCTCTGGAAAGTTTTGTCCGTGAAAGTAGGAAATTTTCAAAGAGTAAAAACTTTAAAAAGATAAAATAAGTCAGTGAAGATTTAGCAGGACATCTGAGTCATTAGATATCTACCCAGAAGTCATTACGGGAGGGGGATATTTAAAAGTCTGAGAAACATAACATGAATCCAAAGCAAGGTGGCGTGGTTAGGTCATCATGCACAGCAATGAAAGTACAGCCATAGCACTACTGCCATACATGAATATCAAACAAGGTTCATGTTGATAAAAACCATTGTTTTAAGACTTAACAAACCTAAGCTTAAACTGTAGGAAGCAAGAGCCAGGGATGTGGCTCACTCTCTGTGCAAGCAAAGGGGCCTGAGTTCAGATCCCCAGAATCCACACAAATGCTGAGCGTGCTAATGTTCATCTCTAATTTCAGTGATCTACAACACGATGGGAGTCAGATACAGTAGAGTCCCAGAAGGGCACGGGCTAGCTAGCCTGGCATACGCAACCACAAACAGCAAAAAGAGACTCTGTCTACAAGTAGCTGAGAACAGACACCTGAAATTGTTTTTAGGGTTTCTGTTGCTGTGAAGAGACAGCATGACTACAACAACTCTTACAAAGGAAAAAGAAAACATTTAACTGGAGCTGGCTTACAGCTCAGAGGTTTAGCCCATTATCGCCATGGTGGGAAGCATGGCGGCCTGCAGCCACACATGGTGCTGGAGAGGTAGCGGAGAATTCTACATCTGGACTGGCAGACAGCAGAAAGACAGACAGTGAGCCGCTAGGCCTGACTTGACATTCTGGAACCTCAAAGCCTACCCCCATGCTCAGTGATACGCTTTCTCCAACAAAGCCACACCTGTTCCAACAAGGCCACATCTCCAAATAGTGCCACTCCCTATGGGCCAATGGGGGACACTTTCATTCCAACCACCACATCTTCTAACCTCCATATTTGCCCAATGCCAAACATTCTCCCACAGATACATACACACACATTTCACACGTACACACAACCAATTTGTGTGTACAAAAACTGAGAGAATGGCAAAGAAAATTATTTGTAAAGACATTTACCTTCACAATGAGTTTTTTTTTTAAAGAAACAGTGCAAATATAACATGTAAACATAATTTTAGAGATGAAAATGTATTTCACATTATTTGGACAAAACTCTCACCAAAATCTAGGAAGGAAATTTCCTCAACTTAATAAGGTGACATGCAAAAATGAAAACTAATTTCCTCTTAGCAGCAACAGACTGAATTCTTTCCTCTGAGGCTAGTGTGTTTGTTAGATTTTATTGTCAACTTGACACAGACTGGAGTTACCTGGGAAGAGAAAAACCTCAGCTGAATAATTTTATCAGATTGGCCCATGGCCCGTTGTCTTGATTGCTAATTGATGTAAAAGGACCCAGCCTACTGAGGGGGGGGTACCATGCCTGGGCGAGTGTACCTGCTCTGTGTAAGAAAGCTAGCTAAGCAAGCCAGAGGGAGCAAGCCAGTAAGCAGTGTTCCTCCATGACTCCCGCCTCAGTGTTCTGCTTTGAGTCCCAGCCTTGGCTTCCCTTTGCGATGGACTGTAAGATGACATAAACTCTCTCTTTCTCTAAGTTGCTTTTGGTGTTCATCACAGCAAGAGAAAGCAAACTAGAACAGTCAGTAACAGTGCGCATACGTGCTATGCCAACAAATTTATCTAACGCTACATCAGAGTGTTTGTATAATGTAGAGAGTCATTGTATAATGTAAGAACTCAAGGAAAAAAGATCTAAAGAGCAGCAGGATTAGAGTGTCAGAATACGTGTTGCATCCACAGACATCGGAAATACGCTAAGACATCCTACAGCATCTAAAAAGTCTATCAAAAATCTAGAATAAAATAGTAAGCTAATTTATCAGCATTGCAGAACATAAGTTGCCTATAGGGGAAAAAAATCAATTGGGTATTTATGTGGTTTGTTGGCATACTCACCTGTTCAGGGAATTTACATTGTTCCCAGTACTGAACCCTTTCAAACAACGCTCTATGAAAACTTGATCCTGACATATTCCTTGTTCCTCTTGTGTATAGATGCTTATCTTTTTAAAAAGAAACTACCGAACCATTTCCCCAAATATCCATTGCCTATTGCATTTTGGCATCATTATTATTATTACTGCCACTACTGCCACCACCACTACCTTGAGTCTGACTAGTGCTGATCGTGTATACATGGGTGTGGAGTCATCCACTGGGGTGGGCAACCTGCCAGAAGCCACAACCCAAAAGAAAAGTGACTCTTACTCCCTCAGCAGCCAATCCCTCCAATAGTCAGCTAGAGGTAAAGCCTTGGGATCTCTTCCGCCATAATGGAATTTTGACGGGCTTGAACTTGTGCCAGGTCTTGCCACAGGCAACCACAGCTGCTATGAGTTGATAAATGTAACAGCCATACCACATCTAGAGGACAGCATTTCTCTTCTCTCCTTATCCTCTAACTCCTCACATTCTTTCTGCCCTCTTATCCAAGATGTCCCCTATGTGCCCTAAGTAGGAAGAGGTTAATAGAGGTAACCCATCTATGGCTGAGCACTCACAGTCATTTATTCTCAACACTTCCACCATTTTTTAGTCTCTCCATTAACCATTACTCACCACAAAAAGCTTCTCTGACCAAGACTGAGATCAGTACTAATCTATGGATATAAACATAAATATTTAGAAAGCAACTTGGCAATAAAAGTATTTAATAAAAGAAAAAGCCGAATAGATTATCCTCTGTAGGCTGTGATATCCCCAACCATGAGCTTTTGATGGGGTTTACAGTACCAGACATGGAATCCACCCTGTGGATCAGGTCTTAAAGCCAATCAGAAAGCGGTTGCCTAACCCCTATAACAGTCATGCCACTATAGCACCTGGTTGGTCTGACAGGTGAGTATTAGAGCAAGTATTAGAGTCAAGTGCTTGGTGAGACTATTGATGTCTTTGCTCCATCAATGCACACAGCACAACACCATCTGTCGCTATGAAAGCCAGCCTGTAGGGAGACAGTTTCCTGGGCAGTTTGAGATATAATTCTTCATAGCCCTCATTGGTTGCCTTTCTACAAAAGACTTTCCAAAAGAGCGAATAAACTGACATCAGTGAACAACATATAACAGCTTACATTAAGATACTTTGTTCCTTAAGATAGGTTTCAGAATACAGTGATTTAAATTGTCATACTTTGTTTTCTAAATTTAGTAACTAAAAAAAGTATTGTCAATATGGACAAGGAAATAATGATATTAAAGGATATATCGCCTCTCTGATGTGGATAAAGTGCAATTATCCGACATTATAAAGCATGCATTGTCTGAGGTGTGTAGCCTGATAAGCATGTGGCCTGCCTGGGGAATGACCTTTAATAGTATGTAGTTCGCCACATCAGCAAGAAATCTAGCTAGATAACAACTTTACTCCCAAGAAAATTCCCTAAGTCTTGCCTTTTTGCTGTCCAAGAACCATTGCAACCTCCTAGAATTTTTAGCTCTCTGGCAATATAAAATTATGTGGTGTGGTAAATCTGTCCATATCATGGGTACATTTTTTATGTCCCATTTACATTTAATATGCACTCAACTTTCCTCAATAGTTTGAAAATGTCTAATGCAGAGATCACTTCTTTTCTACTCAGCACAGAATAGGCATTGAACCAGTTACCAGTAGAGAAATAAATACATGTGTGTCATAGTAAAACTTGTATTATTCCTCCAAATTGTTTGGTCTTACGAGGAGCCTTACGAATCTGCAGTTCTGACCTTTTTAGCGATCTCACTATTCCAGAAAGATTAGAATTTCTATAGTTCTTCGATAAGAATGCACGTTCCAGAAATTGATATGGAATAGTTTCCAATTACTGGACAATACTTTCCTCTGTTCTAGCTGATCTGGACCCTGACCATGAACATCTTAAGCATCATTGCAACACAACTTGGTGTGTTTTTAATAACAATGGAGCTGGTAATGACTTCAGATTTAGGATCCTCCTTGTGGCAACATGTAAGTACCAGGCTTCTGAGAGAATTTCATCATGATTTTAAAATGATGCCTTCAGCTCCTCAGTGAGGATTGAAGCATTCAAGTATTAGTCAAATGACGAACATTCCTCTAATCAGTTTACTCGCAGGCATATGTACCTACTATCCGTGTGATACAAGCTACATACTACATTCCAAAGCCTCAGGGAACCAAATAAAGTCTTAAAACTACTAATACAGATATTTCATTGAGGAAGCATTACAGTCAATCCTGGCTCCTCCTGGTTGCTATGATACATTTATGACTGACAGTTTGCTTCTTCCTAGGCACCTACATCTCTTAAGACCAGTTTTTCCAAGGCATTTTTTTTTTAAGATTAAATTTGCTAGAGTAAGACTTTACTCTTTCATGAGTGAAATGGCATTTATATGGACTTATATTAGCCATAGACTTTTGGTCAATGCAAGTGCTATAGTCTACAGAGTGAATCACCTCTGCAACAGATATAATTTGGAAGGCTCATATATTTAGTTCCACATGCAAAAGCCATGTGAACATTTTTGTGTCTCTGAATCTGTCTTTTAGAGGGTCCATGAAGAACTGTTTAAGGCTGTTTATGTTTGTGTATCTGTTGTACTATGCAGGTGGGACTATGAACATAGGCGCACTTAGCCACTTAGGTTTGTTGGTGTGAAAGGAAAGGGTGAGGACAAAGAAAAGGAAGAGATGCTGAACAAATTCTGTAGGAATTTGAAGCCATGGTATTGAAGTCTCGTCTATAAACTACTGTCCTTCTGTTCTATGCCTAGGGTTATAGAGAGGCCAAAACTACTGGACTTGTAACTAAGACCTAGAAACCACATTTTTTTTAAATTGATGCCATTAGATGTTGCCTGTGTAACTTGTAAACTAATTCAGAAAGTTCTCCCTACTTCAACATGTAAGAGTTATAGTTAATCAACTAGTCCCAAAATATATATTGGTTAGTAATTCACTTTTACATTTTTTTTATTTCTATGTATCTTTGGGAGAAACTTTAAATAAATAAATATGGATGTAGATACATATCTGTGTATCTCTGGCTCAATAAAGAAGCAAGCTTTGAAATATTTAGCTACTTGCTAAAGGTCATGGGTCTGGTCACCTAAAGAGCATTTATTCTGAATTTACTTGGGTAAATTCCAAGTCACCTCACCACACTAAATAGAGCCTTAACAAAAATCAATTCAGTGACACATGGGAGGACCATTATATTGACATAGAAGTGCTAAGCTCCCCTTTGGTATCACTTACTAAATAACAAGAGAAAGTGTCATTGTATATACTTCCCCATTAAATAGTCCTATTACATTGAACCACAAAAGAAACTGGACCTCAACTCTACCTTCTCCAAAGGCTCATCATCCTTAAGAAAATATGCTAGTTCTCCCCACAACAAAGAAAAAAGTACGATTCCCATTATACTTTGGTAGAAATATATCAATTCACTATCCTCAACAACTATTAATTATTTAAAAAAGTAAGTACTGACAAGAAAGTAAGGAATAGGGAACCATTACACTCTGTTTATGAGACTGCAAATACTGCAGCCATTATGGTTTCATTATGAAAGTTCACCAAGAAATTAAAAACGGAAATATCACATTGTGCTGCAAACCCATTACGAGGGTATATCTGTAATGAAATCAAATTAGAACATCAAGGAGACATTAAAAAGCATGATATACAATAGCTAAGACATGTTAAGATGATATTCGTTTACATTTGTCCTTTGTGAAACCATCATGTTATAAGAGATAATTACGTTAAGAAAAACAAGCCAAGTGTGAAACACAAGAATTATGTAATCACACATACATAAAAAATTAATAAATAAATTGATCTACTAGAAGATAGGAGTAAAACAGTACATGCTGAGGGGTATGGAGAAAGAAGGTTTGGAATCTATCATGTCAGATACTGCAATAAATATGTCTGCTTGTTTCTTAGTTTAAAAAATCTATTGTCATATGATCAAATATAGGCATGGATTTTCAGCTACTGAGGGTATGAAATACAATATCTTCTGTAATGCCAGGTTCACGGGACCCTCAGAGACCACCAGGAGGTGACTCAATGCAAGAGAGCTTTATTACCAGAGTGACCCAACTCGGGACCCAAGTCTCTCTGATGCAGCAGTAGAGAAGTGGGACCCCGAGCTCTGAGTGAACAAGATTTTTAAAGGGAAAGTCTGTGAGCAGGGGGTTTCCATGGCAGCAAGCAGGGGGAGCATAAGCCTTGGCAATACAGAATTGGGTGAATTTTAGCAGGGCGGGGTGACCTTTTCTGAGGCACACAATCACAATGGATAAGTATGGATCTATTTGCATTTTTCTACATGAAAGACACACACGGTAAATACTCACTCATATGGACATGTAATATAGGATAAACCTACTAAAATCAGTACATCTAAAGAAACTAATCAAGAGCGAGGACCCTGACTAAAATGCTCAATTCCCATCCCGAAAGGCAAAGAGGATGGACATCAGAAGAAGAAAACAGGAAACAATTCAGGAACCTGCCACAGCGGGCATCTGAAAGGCTCTGCCCTGCAGACTATCAAAGCAGATACTGAGACTTAAGGCCAACTGTTGGGCAGTGTGCAACCCCCAGGCAGGAGGAGAACCACAGGGCTTGTCAATCTTTTTATTTTGTTTTTAAGAACCAATTCTTTCTTTTATTGATTATTTGTATTGTTTTTTGTTTGTTTTTATTTCCTTAATTTCAGTCCTGGTTTTGGTTATTTCTTCCTATTATCTGCTGTTTTGGAATTTGCTTTATTCTGGTTTCTTCCAAGGTTCTAAGATATATTTTGACTTGTTAATTTGAAATAACTTTTTTGATTTAGGCACCATGTACTATAAACTTTCCTCTTCCGATTGTCTTCATCGTGTCTTATCAATTTTGCTATATTTATGATTTTACTTCCATTCAATTCTAGGAATAGTTTTCTTCTCCCTTCTTGATTTCTTCAATGACCCAATTATTCAACAGGATGTGGTTTAATCTCCATGAGTTGATATATTTCCTTTAAATTTTTGGTTTGGTTTGGGTGGGGTTAGGTTGTTTGTTTGTTTGGGGGGGGTCGTAAGACAGGGTTTCTCTGTGTAACAAGCCCTGGCTGCCCTGGAACTTGCTCTGTAGACCAGGCTGGCCTCAAACTGACAGAGATCCACCTGCCTCTGCCTCCTGAGTGCTAGATGGGATCAAAGGTGTGTGCCACCACCACCTGGCCTTCCTGTCGTTTTTATTTCTGTTGATATATAGCTTTGTTCTATTGTAATAAGAGGGAATACAGGATTTTACTTCCATTTTCTTATATTTGTTGAAACTTGCTTTGTGTCTTAATATATGATAGACTTTGGCGAAGGTTCTACAGGCTGCTTAGAAAAATAATGTCCACTGTTTAGTGTTTGAATGTTCTGTTCTGTAGATATTAGGTCCATTTGACATCCATATGAACCTCACTGCCACTGAGACTCAAGAAACCTTGCAGATAAATTATGAAGAATGTAAGAGGTGAAAGATGGGGAGTAAAGCTGTGAAATTCTATCTTCTAGACATAATATAGACATCATAAAGAACTCACAACATCTGTGGTTACCTGTACAAGATTTATACAAGAGTAAGCCAATTAAAATTCTCGAATACACAGAGATATGGATATGAAGTGGATAGTTGCTGTGGGAAGAATTATACTTTCATAAGGATATGACCACTAGTTCAGTGGATGACTTTACACATATACATATAAAAATACTAGTTGGACATAGTAGGCTATCAAAAAAAAAGAGAGAGATGAAGTTGGGAGGGGTTGACAAAAGGAACTGGAGGAAGAAATGGAAGTATGCATTGTAGTATTTCACCTATATATACATATATGAAATTCTCAAAAGTAAATATTAAGTAAAGACTATGTTTTCTTTTGTATACAGAGAAGTGGCAGAATGCTCACAGAGTATCTGTTCTTGTTCACTATCTTGGAGATGCTTACAGCATCCGTAGTAATTGAGTGGACCTATAGAGCAAGACAAACAGAAGAATAAAAGGTGAGTCTATCATTTCTCCTTCAGTGAACAGAAGCTACTAACTTCTCTGATATACCCTATTCAGATGACTTAGAAAGCATTATTCATGGGTAGTGTCATCTCTAAACTTGGACTAGAGGGAGGTAGAAACATTTTGCAATACTGTTCTGTACTAAACAGCTCTTTGTATAATTGAAGCTAAATAAATCTCCTATGTGAAGTGAGTGGAGTGAGGATGTACCTGAGCAGTAGAGGACTTATGTAGCATTAGTGTGTCTCTCAGTTTGATAACCAGAAGAAGCCTATAAAAGAAGTTGGGTGGCATAGAGTGCAGTGGTAGAGACCCTGGGTTTTATATTCAGCAGTACTTAACTGACCCTCGGTCCCACTATCCACCTCCACAAACACTGGAGCCCAGCTTTTATCACTTGCCTCTTACTCCATAAACACACCTCGTTCACTTTACCATCTTAATTTGTAGATGAAATCCTTAAGTAAACTCTGTCTGGAATTAATGTGATTAAAGATTAAGGAGGGAGAAAACCTTATCAAATAAATTTTCCCCAGATCTCCTACTTTCTCTCACTCCAAAGGCTGCCTCTGCATTTGTACAGCAAAAGTCATCTTCTTTTAACAACATGTGGCTGGCGTGTGTCACTCCAGAGGACTGTGGGTACTTATGTCTAGATCACTATTTGCCTTTGAATAAGTTTTCCTTAAAGCAGTGAAATATGGAGTTAAAATTCATCGAAAAGCCTAATACTCATAAACTTGAAAAACGTATGGCTGGAACTAAAGCGCTGACTCAGTGGCTAAGAGCATTTTTTTTTTTTTTTTTTTTTGCTCTTGCAGAGGACCCAGGTCTGATTCCCAGAAGCCACTTAGTGGCTTACAATCATCCATAACTCCAATTCCCGTGAATCCAGAAACTTTCCTCTGTCTTCCGCAGGCACCAGAAACATGCATGATGCATAGATATGCATGCAAGCAAAACACTCATGCACATATATAAATATTTTTAAACACAAAGCCACAAAATACAGTCATAATTCTCTGAACAAAGGAACAAGAGAAAACAAATTGAAATTATTTGTTTAGAACTAGAAACAGAGTATATAGAAGAGGAAAAGAGAGGACAGGCAGAGGAAAGGGAAATAAAAAGCAGAAGAAAAGGAGGAAAGTTGTTTTTAAAATACTATTTAAAAAGCCCATGGTTTTGTCTGGGAAGTATACCTCAGAGGAAGTCCTTGTTAGCATGGTAAGAGCATGGGTTCCAGGACCAACACAAAAGTGGGGGGGGGGGGGGAGCTCATGATTTTATTTGTTTAGGACTCTCAACAATTAGGTTGTTTAGGTTTCTTTCAAATGCTACTGAAATTGTATAGTTCTTTATCTTAGATCACATTAATGAGCAATTTATACCATCTAACTTACCTCAGGTTCATATAAGAAAGCAACCCTTTTCCTACACGTTAAAAGAAGTATCATGGCCTCAGCCAAGGACAAAAGTTTGATGATGAGTGAAGAACTTCATTTGTTTAAGAGACATCTTGGAAAATGGAATTGTATTAAGTCTGCCTCAGTATTTCCTCTCCTCCATCTCATTAATAAAAATTGATAGTAATTAATATATTTGTTTTTCTGTGTGGGAAATTGAGCATAAATTTACTTCATTGTCATAGTTAATCAGGGGCTAAATCTGGTCGTCTTGAGTTAAAGGGTTCTTCTAAGCCCAAGCATACCATGAATGGACACCAATCTTCTAGCATGGGCTCTATACCTAAGTTGATGGATGAAGTCATGCTTACTCTAAGTGAATTCATAGTGAAAAGAAAAGTAAGCCACACCCTCATCAGTGAGGCAGACTAACTGTAAACATTAAACATCTTTCTAACCGACTGCTGTTAAAAGATAAGTAATTTCCCTCCAGTGTGGTGTGTACAGTACCGTTAGATATATCTTTATGCAACTGACACTACATAAACGAATGTCCACAAAACTCTTTTACTAGAAAGCACACCTTCTGCAATGTGTGTCCTTTTCCCCACAGCTTTTCTCGTTTACTCACTGTACCCTGAATTTTATAAACCTAAGACTGTCTTTCCAGCAGCGTTCTGCTGTATCCGTAAAGACCTTTTATATGGTTCATCTTGCTATTTCTGTGGCAGAACGCCTGAGATAAACAACTTATAGAAAGGAAATGTTTATTTGGGCTCTCAGTTTCAGAGACTGCAGTTCACATTTGGTTGGATCTGTTCCTATTGGGGCTGTGGAAAACAGAGCACCATGATGAGGAGAAGGTGGCATAACAAGACTGCTTACCTCATAGAGGACAAGGAGAGGGAGGAAGATGGAGAGGGAGGAGAAAGGGGGAAGAAAGATGGGGAAAAGAAAAAAGGAAAGAAGGGAGGAAAAGGGATAAGAGGGAGAGGACGAGAGAGAACAATAGCCAGGGTGTTGCCTCCTCACCATCGCCACAGGTTGGAACCACGCCATTAGGCATATGGACCTTTGGAGAACATGTAAAACCTAAACCAAAACCCCTTTCCTCCTCTTAGTTTCTTTGAAGCCCACAGCTTGTTCCCACTACCTGTTTTCATAACTGATCCATGGGGCAAAACATACATATTTTATAGGTAAATGCCCCAGGAAAAGTCTGTGGCATCTTTTTACAATCAAGTCTGTAATTAGTGTGGCTCGTCCATGCACATACCTTTCTCCTCCCGGTAGTACATCTTTAAGATACACTCGTGATGCTGTTCATATACCTGTTGATTTTAAATGCTGCTAGATAGTCTGTGGCATCTATGTCAGCACATCTGTGAACCCCTTCTTCCAAGAACGGACATGTAGGCTGCCTCATTTTCTCCCCTTGAATAATTTCTTTGGGACAGACATTCTTTAGCAGAATATCTGATATATATATTGTATACAACACACACACGAACACACATCATTTGCTTAAGGAAAACAAGAAGTGTCACCATTCCTCTGTTGCAGGATATTTGATGCTGCATACTTTTTTTCCACCATGTACTCTGGAGTCTCTTGGTCTCTTAAGCATGCACTGTTACTCAGCAGTGTGGCTTCTGACTTTTCAGTGTGAGAATTTTTTTTTCTTATTGTTATTTGTCAGGAGTTCACACAAGCAGTAACTGGCATCTGTTTTGTGTTCCTAATGAGCTGGAACCACAGCTCTGAGAGAGTTAAATACACGGGGTAACAAGAAGAACTACAGAAATGAGGAACAAAATTTGAACATGTGGAGAACAAATAAATGAGAAATGAAATAAAGTTCATAACCCATGGAAAGAAATGAGATCAATAACATAGGAATGCAGACACTTTCAAACACTTAATTCTTAGCAAGAAAGGAAGTAGTGAATGCCATATGAATACATACACTGGGGAGAGGTGATGGAAGAATATAAAGGCCTTTGTTTTTCAAACACATGGAAAGCCACCTAAAAATAGGGAGATGTGGGTTGAGGATATGGCTCAGTAGATAAAGTGCTTGTCATACATGCACGAGTAACTTTGTTTGAATTCTCAGAACCTACATAAAGCCAGACCTGGTAGCACACACATCTGTCACCCCAGCTCTCCTGCGGGGAGACAAAGACAAGGGCATCCCCAGAATCTGTCATTTGTCCAGTTGTCTTCATTTGAAGTTGGGTTGTGGTTTGAATGAGAAATGTCCCGCCGGCCCCCAATAGCCCCCACTGTTTGAATGCTAGCTTCCCAGTGGTAGCACCGTTTAGGAAGGTGTCCAAGTGCTAGAGGGAGTGTGTCAGTAGGTGTGAATTTTGAGGTTTTACAGCCTGGCCACATCTCTTGTTCTCTCTTTGCCTCCTGACTTCCAGATGACCTCAGGCTCCTGCTACCATGCCTTTCCCACCACAGTGGATTCTGTCCCTCTGGAATTGTAAGCCAAAATAAACCCTTTCTCCCCCAAGTTACTTTTTGTCTGGGTTCTTTCTCATAGCAAACAAAACGAAACTGAAACGACCTGTCATGAAGAATATGACGATAAATATTTGTGGACAAGTTTTTATGGGGATATGTTTTGGATATATGCCAAAGAGAATAATTATTGAACACAGGCAACCCTTGAAAGAATATCTACTATTTCAAGTCTACTTATTCCAAAGTATCTGCATAACTTACTAGCAAAGTTTATGGGTGCCAAGATCTCAGAATATTCACCAACACGTGTTTTTGTCTGTCTTTCCCCGCTTTACCCACCCTATTGAGTAATGAAGTGTAGTATCTTGATGTGTGGTATATTAGTGTGGCTTGAGTTTGCATTTAGCTAATCAGTAATGGAGTCCAGCATCTTTTCATGTGTTTATTGACCATTTTAACTTTTCCCTGGAGATAAAGACTCTCTTGCCAATGTTTAATAAGGTTGTATTATTATCCTGATTATGGGTTGTGAAGGATCTTTATATATTCTCAACTGAAATCCTTTCTGAAATGTATGTGGAGACTGGAATTTCAGCCCTGGTCCTTGCATTGCTTCCATTCTATGAGTCATCATTTTACTTTATATTTTTAATATTTTTAATTTTAATGTACAAAATAATGGGTTTTATTGTAACATTTTCTTACATGCATATATCATTGTGATTTGGCCATGCTCATTCTCAATGCTCATTACCCTCCCTTGATGTCATTGAAGTCAGTTTGTACGTATTTTATTTTTTAAAAAAATTTCCTCAGACCATGCATGGAGATAACCTAGAACCCCTGTACACACGTAGCCCATGGCAGCTCAGTACCCAAGTGAGTTCCCTAGTAAGGGAAACAGAGACTGTCTCTGACATGAATTCAGTGGCTGACTCTTTGATCACCTCCCCCTCAGCCTTACCAGGCCACAGAGGAAGACAATGCAGCCAGTCCTGATAAGACCTGATAGGCTACGGTCAGATGGAAGGGGAGGAGGACCTCTCCTATCAGTGGATGTGGAGAGGGACATGGGAGGAGATAAGGGAGGGAGAGTGGAATTGGGAGGGAAT